CAGCTATGAAATAAGGCAGAAAGACAAAAAGGAATTTGACAAGTGAAGCAGAGGATTAGGCCAAGAATAAACGGTATCAGTAGGGAATATGTCAGGTGCAGGGCCTGCTTCATGTGTTAATAATATAATGCAAAATGCCACACGTGAGAAAAGAAAACAGTCACCAGAGGCAAATCAAAGTGTGATTTTATAAGTTCTATCTCAGGTAGCATCTGAAAACTGGGATGTCAGCCGGTTTGTTTGGAATCAGATATCTTTATAAAAGGATTGAGCTATGAATAAAGAGAATCTAGAATCAGCATGGTCCAGAGTACTACTGATGTGGCTGTGACCAACACAAAGAAATCAAGTGCTCACGAATCTTTGTGGCCTCACTTGTCTCCACTGAGGCATGCAAGAATCAGGTCTGTAAGGAAGTACAGCTCATTATCCTATGGCTTCTGAGAACTGCTTCTGTAAGCCATCATGTCTGCCTGAAACTTCAATTTTCTTCCTGTACCCTGGCTACTGCCAAAAAAGGTCAAACCTTCCACACAGTAGTAAGATTTAGGAAAAGGACCTTGAAGAAACGTAACATTTACATCTATGATACTGAATGGACTCTAAGCATTGTTTATCAGCTTTGGTAACCAGTATCTACCACTCTCTGTTTTCACCTACCAAAACTCACTTTTCATTTAACCCTAAAAACTGAAGCAATCCAAAACACTCCTCCTAAACTTCCCACATCCCTACACCCAATAGAACTTACCTCTACCCCCTTCCACTTTTTCCTCCTCCCTTCTATCTCCTCAGCAGGATGAAGTACCTTTCCCCTACAGAGGACACCATACAATCTCCTCTGGGTACTTTGCATAATCAATTTCTCAAAAACTCATTTTTGTTTTATCTCACTTAGAGGCAGAAGGCAGAAGATAAAAACAATTTCTAAAAGTATTAACTAGGCTCTTTTTCTTAGTTCTTGAAATCGTGAACAAACCGAAAGGAATAAAACAACTATGTCAAACTAGACAAATCACCTCCAATAAAAAGACTAAGAGACTTCAGGACATATACTCCTTAGTAAAGTGCATTAGAAAAACAAAACAATCTGCTAATGATTTTAATAATTTCACTGTTTAACATAGTACAAGTCTGGTATCTTAAAACTATTTTCTTTATTTTGTAGGAAAAGTAATTTTCTTAGGTATAATGTACTGTATTTGTGTAGGAAAAATTTTAATCCTAGGACATGAATGCTTAAGTATTTACAAGTAAAACACCTGCAATTTACTTCATTTACTAGAGAGAGAGAGAGAATGAGAATAACAGAATACAGAAAAATGTTTATGAGGTGATGGTTCTATCAGTATACAGTTGTTCACAATACTTTGCTTTTAGGTTCTATATGTGTAAAATTTTTCATAACAAAAAAATTGCAAGTTAAAATTGTTTTAGTTTGGTAAAAAAGCATTTTTGCATACGTATATACTTACAAAATATACAAAAATACAGCTTAGCTTAGAAATGTGGTAGTAAAACAATAATATTATTCACTTTGTTGTTATTGTTATTCATGTTTTTGAAGTTTCTACAACGCAAATTTAATGCTTTTATTATAGAAAATTTAACCTTATACCTACAGCAATACATCTTACTGAGTGTACATTAGTCTTCAACATATGATCATTTGACTTACAATATTTCAACTTTACAACTATGCAAAATCAGTGCACATTCAACAGGAACTATACTTCAAATTCTAAATTTTGATCTTTTCCTGGGGCAGCAAAAAAAGTACGATATTCTCACAGTACTAGACAGTAGCAGAGAGCTATAGTTCCCACTCACCCAAGTGATCATGGGAGTAAAACGAATGCTCCACAGTGGACTATATTACTAAGCTATGATCTTCAGTATGTTAGATGTACCAGAGATAGATAGATAGATACGTAGATAGTGTCTTTTTGAGACAGAGTCTCACTATGCTGGCCTTGAACTCACTTTGTAGCTCAGGCTGGTCTTGAACGTCCAACAATCCTCCTTCCTCAGCCTCCCAAGTGCTTTGGGGATTACAGGCATGTACCACCATGCCTAGCTATAAGATAAATTTTCAACTTAACAATATTTGCAATAGATTTATTGTAAGTAACCCCACTGTAAGTTACCAAATAGTTATGCCTAATTCAAGAACACAGGCTGAACATGCTTTGTCCCTCATTCATTCTTTAAAAAAAAAAACTACTGAAATTAAAATAGAGAACTACATTAATAATACAGGAAAAGAATGAAGTGCTGGGAAAAGTTTCACCAATAAAGAAGAGATATCAATAAAATTTCTGAAAGATTGGTGGAGAGGAAGACATGCTTTCAGTATGAAAGAAAGCCATAAAAGGTGCGACTACCTAAATGCTATAAGAAAGTTACAGAAAAGGAAAAGTTTATGTATCCATTACAAAGTCAACTCAATGTCAACTCAGAATCAATCAGTGAAACAGAAGGCAGCAGCCACTGCTGTAATTATTTGAAGTATTGATACATACTTCACTACTTGGCACCCTTCCTTTAATCCCTGACTGATCAGAGCACCCAAGTGGCTTGACATTGAAATTTCTTTTCCAAATCCTCAGGTTCATAAGCGTGATGATTGGGTGTTCATGCTTTATGCATGACATGTGCCTCCTTTCAACCTTGTTACGACTTCGGCACATTACCCATCTGGCGTGAAAAAAAAAAAAAAAAAAAAAGAAATATGTTTTCCAAAGAAACTAAACAAGCTGGGATTCTGACAGGAGTGTTAGCATTTCGGGCTCAAACACAGAGACGTCAGCTATCCTCCCACAACGAAGTGAAATCTGAGAGTTGACTTGCCTCTCCCTTCTATACAAGGATCATCAGGCAAATGAGGAAAACTAACAACACAACCTCTGTGAATTTAAAAAGCAATTCAGAGAGCTAAAGAATAAATTTACAGAGAAAAACAAAAACTACCCCAAATACATTAAGATTTTCTTTAAAAAACTTCTATACACAAAGAACAAGATACTAAAAAAAAAGAAAATCTCAGGGTATATAAAATAAAAAGAACAATTAAAAGAGATAAATGACATAAAAATTTTAGAGATCCATTTGGGAAATTTATCATCCAACTTAGAATTCCTAAAAAGACAATGTAAGGAAAAACACATTGGATGGGGAGGGGAAGAGAAGGGAGAGGGTGGGAGAGGATAGGAGGGGTCAAGAGAGGATAAGAGATGCAGGATCTCAAGGAAATGGCCACACAGTACGCCTAGAAAGCAAATGGACTTCACTGTGAAAGTATTTCTTGAAAAGAACAGGATGATTATTTGAGCAGAAAAATAAAGACGTAAAAAGATATTACCACAATTTTTAAAATTAAAAAGGGTAGTTGAAAGTTTAGAGAAAACAAAGGTACTTGGTCCAAACATAAATAAATACAAATTTCTATGAGTTTTGACCAGGCATGGTGGGGCACCTCTATAGTCTCAGCACTTAGGAGGCTGAGGCAAGAGGATCATCACACGAGTTCGAGGCCAGGCTGGGCTAGACCATGAGTCCAAGGCATAAATGTATTCTTTAACGCTGTACTCAACAACCATAACAAAATAATACTAATACAAATATTCTCCATTGTGTTACAGTCAATCTTTGAAAGGAAGACACAATTACAACTGTAAAACAAAATGTCAATTTTTGACATTTTGACAATTTAAATAGTAAATAAATAAATTTTGACAATTTAAATAGTAAGTAAATAGCTGGTAAAAGGAAGAGATAAGGAAAAGAAAAAACAAAAGGAAAGGTAGAAGTGCTTATTAGTTCATTTTATATGAAAGTTTATAAAGATTCTGAGTACTATATATATTTATTATAAACATATGAAATAGGTAAAAACAAAAACAATTACCAGTTTGCAAGAGCATACACACAAAAAAGGAGATAGGAAAAGATAAACTAGTGTCAGTGAACTAAACGCTTGTTTTTCCTATATCAGCGTATGTTGCCAAAGGGAACACAACCTCTTGTTTTTCATGTTGAGAAAATCAACTGATACTAAATCCCACAAAGAAAAATATTAAAACATGTACTGAACATAGGTTTCACTGTTAATCATTTAGAAGACAAGAGACTAAATCTGGACTGATCCTTTCTCCATTCCTCTTTTGGGCATTTGTTAAATGTGCTTATATGCACAAAAAGGTATGAAAAAAATATGCATGCTTGCACATGTGTACATGTGTGAGTGCATGTGTGTGTGAGTGCGTACCTGGAAGTGTGTGTGTGTTCATGAGTGTATATGTGCGTACTAAATGCATGGCTTTTGCTTTTGCTCCCTTTTCCCCAGCAGTTTGTCTGGGAGGAGAATGGAGAAAGGGCAGGAAGGAAGGGAAAAAGGGACAGAGAAGGAAGAGAAAGAAGGGAGGGACAGAGAGCGGAAAAAAAGGAAGGATGAAGGAAATAGTCATAGAAGGGAGTATCCTAGTTAACTCCAGACTGAGACTACAATTTAGTCTTTTCCTTCAGTGTTTGTAAAAGGTTATATCTCAAACATACAAGAACATAGCATTCCTGTTCATTATAACACTGCTAAGGCTAATTAAAATGGAATAAAAAGTGTACTTGAATTTTAGAAATACTAATGGAGTAGGCAGAAAGAGGAGATACTAAAAGTATTTGAAAGCTGTTATGAAGATCTTAAGAGTAATTACATGGGAAAAAAATCAAATTAAATAAGCAAATACATACTGAGGGACCTCACAAATCTAAGAGATAGTTAACTAGAAAAGAACAGAGAGAGTTTACTATAATGCTACACCAGGAAAATCTTTCCAACAACTGAATGGACTGTCTATAATGAAGACCTGGTCCCCCATCACTCTGTTGTTTAAGTAGAAACTAGAAAACATCTGTCTGTAATGTTTACGAATGGTGGAAGATTTGACTGGATCATCCCTTATATAATAACTATGAGAGTTCTAAACTAAAAAATTTTGACTTACCAACATCCATTGCAGTTTCCATAAAGCTTTTCTGTCGTGAAGCAAATTCTGCAAGTAATTTCTGCTGCCTCTCTCTAGCCTTCTGTCGCCTAGATTAAACAGAAATAAAGTTGTAAGTACCAAACATGCTTAAAACTATTCTGTTGTCTTTGAGGGAGATAGATAGATAGATAGATAGATAGATAGATAGATGAAAATTCCATCATACAGTGGAAAATAACCTATTTTCTAGATCATGTATTAAATTTCATGTAAGACATACTGTTTTTTAAGGTTCTAATGCTTTAAAAAGCATTAGATGCTTCAATCTCACTGACTCAATAAATAAAAAGTAAAAGACAAGATGTAAACTAAAATCTGATACAATAAAGTAGACAAAGTTTAGATTTTTAACAACTGGTTTTTTAATATATGTCCAATGCCAACAAGAACCAGAGTCTGTTTTTTAGCAAGGGACTAACAATTTAATCCTAGACAGTAAATTGGTTGCCATAAAAAGCCAAGATGTCTAGATTTAAACAAAATTTAAATGATTAATTATATTTACTGTTACCCTAAGAACAGGTCTCTTGAGGCCAGGGCCATAGCTCAGTGCCCTAAGCTTGATTCCCAGTAACCAAAAAAAAAAGAACAGGTCCCTTCCAATAGGGAAAGGTAGAAGCCAAAAACTTCCTAGTTTCTACTAAGAGATACTTCAACTTTCGTTTATTTGGAGGTAAAAGGGTGTGAGTTTTAAACACAACAAAGAATAAAACCATATTCCAAATATAAGTATAAATATTCCCTTGTGTTAACTGATTGTTTCTACTACTTGTGCCTTATCTATTTCTTACCTATTTCGTACTAATATTTTAATTTAAAATTGGTTCCAAAAAAAACCTCAATACCAATTCAACAAGGCCCAAAACATAAGGAAATACAAGTAAACTAATAAAGAAAAGAGACAGGCTTCCCAGATTATGTGGTCAATACTAGTGAGCATGCAACTTAGGCCTGATAAGAGGTTAAAATAGTGATGATAAAAAGAGGGAAATGAAAAAAAGGTTTAAAAGGCAAATTATAAGTAAACTCATCAAGAGTTGAACAAAAAGGAACTGATTATAGCCCAAGATACAAAGGGCATGATAACATAGTAAGTACTAGAACAGTTTCTTTTAATGACTATTTGTTGTGTCTGTATATTATGAAAGCCAAATTATTTTGTTAAAGTGAGATTCTATGTAGGTATTTTAAGAAAAGCTGAAAGTATTTTTATTAATCAGGAAGAACTCAAAGACAGCACAGTTTTTGGAAAAATGAAATACTAACTAATTCTTTTTATTATTTGCATATCTGCTCTCATCAAATTAGTGCAGTAATAAAGTGAAGTATTACGGTCTACCTCACCACAAGAAGTTACGCATCTCTGCCAATAATGGTCAAAAGATTTTTAATAATCTAACATTTATTTTATAGATAATTTAGGACCCACAGAAGAAAACCTGCCTTATTATAACTAAATTCTAACATTGCTTTTGAGCCCAAATATTATTCAAGTGAATTATTTACCTTCTTCATCAAAGTTAATTCTGAATGACACTGATTATTTCAGAAAAAAATAAATCTACCCCTCCCTTTTCTTCCCTTCCTAAACATAAAAAGTGACTACCACTGCATGGTACAGAATATCAGAATTCAGCAGTCTGGCATAAAGAAGGAACTCAGGTGGGGAAAGATTGCAAGAAACTGTCTGCATACAAGGAAATGATAAAAATTTATATATGTAGAAGGAATAGGGATTGTGAGTTATAAACATGGAAAGAAGGAAAACAAAAATGACTCAAATGGTATCATATTGAAATTACAAGTAACAGAATAAACTAAGAATCTTCAAAATACACAAACAGACATGAAAATAAATGTTTCCCTCTCTCAATCTAATGCAATAAGAGACATACAGAGTCACAGGCTCACTTGTCCCCAGCTCTGCCCACTAAGCCTGAAAACAGCTATTCTCCTTAGAATAAACACAATGGTCCCTGGCTTCTAAATACTGTTTCTACTAGGGGTCACCAAGACTCTTTAGAGAAATAGCTAACTTCAACTATGAGATGAGCCTGGAAGATTTAATTGTCCTAGAAAATAAGAACATGCTCAAAGAATTAAGGGCATGGAGCAAAAGGACACAAAGACCAGCTTGAAGGAACTCAAAGTGTAACCTAGGAAATCTAGAGTAATTTGAATAATGAGCACATCTGATTATAACCCACTAGATCAAATAGGAACCCATGAGTTTGTACAGTAAAAATAAGTGAATATATTGAAAAGAGGTAAGAAATGGAACATTATTGTATGTCAAAGTATGTCTCAACAAATTACCTATTAATCACAAAAGAGGGAAACAGTAACTTAACCTTGGAAAAGTATGGCAGACACCCTCTTAATTAAGTGATCAAATTTAGCCACCAATAATGAAACAAAATTATGTGACACCTGGTCAGATGCAATGAAAAGAAAACACTCCATTAACATTCCTGCCAAAAATGCATCACTGGAAGCAAAACAGGTAAGTCTGACTTGAAGGACATTCTGTAATGCTGCTGCTACTATACAGTAATCACCAGCAGTGCCAAGTTACAAAAATAAAAACTGAAGAAATTGTTCATTTAGTGCAGGAGACAAAAAGACAATTAAATGCAATGATTGCTTAAGAACTAGACTGAACAAGCATTTAAAACTGAACTCTGAAGATTTAATCATAATCAAATACAGTATTAATTTCTTTTTTTTTTTCTTTTGTTGAGATTGTCAAGGTTCATCTCAACTTTTAGGCTCAAATGATCTTCCTGCCTCCCAGTAACTTTGACTACAGTCACATGCTACCACATCTGCCTTAATTTTCTAATTTTGATAGCAGCGATGAGGTTATGAAGGAAAAGGTTCTTACTTTTAGGAAATACATACTAAACTACTCCAAAGTAAAATAGGAGCACCACACCAGCAAATTACTCTAAAATGTTTCAGGAAGTTCCTTGCATTGTCCTCAAAACATTTGTTAGTTTAAGATTGCTTTGAAATAAAAGGCTTATGAAAATTAAGTCCAGTCCCAAGTACTTTCAAATATTTACTACTGAGGAAGAAATTAAAGCAAACTAAAAAATGCCTAGATACTCAAACAATTCTAACAGACCTCCAAAACTGCTACAAAGAACATCAGCATCTTGATAGAATATATGTTTAGTCTCCTATATCAGTACTTTGTCAATTTATAAGGTCTTTCATGCTTCCTTAATTAACGCCATCCTACGTTCACCTTTAAACACATACATTAACATTTATAATAAAAATGTTCATAGACAGTATTTCAAATATAAACATAAAAAATAAGAAAACTTCAAGTTTAATTGCTTGACAGTAGAATCAACATACACTCTTAATATCAGTTTTCTATGTAACCAAAAATGGAATGGAATGTCATTGTTGGGAATTTTTTTAATTTAGGCCACTAACACAAGACATAAACAAATTCTAGTAGATTCTGCACATTTCAGAAATTTTTCACTATTATCCTGGAAATAACATTGAAGCTACATATTGCTACAACCAGCAAAGGTTTCCAGTTTGTAACATTTTTCTATTAAGTTAATTTATCACAACAGGGATACCAGATTTACCTATAGTGGTAATACTCGGAAATGGATCATCATTAAGTGTTTACCAACTGTTCTGCTTTATTATGAAACAATCTAGCATAGAGAATGCATAAGTGAAAACCACATCTCAATTCCTGACTAATACAGAATTAGTTTCAAGTGTTTGTCAATATCATAACTGTTTAAAATTTTTGCAATATTATCTATCACAAGAATGTTCAGGCCTTTATTTTTTAAAAGGCACTATGATAATAATTAGAAGGAAACACCACTAATTTAGAAAAGGTTAACAAAAATTAAAATCTTATCTTGTCTTCAATCTTTTACTCTTGTCAGATCATTAATTCTAGGTGGTTAATTACCTTGTTTTCAATATTTTACTTTTGTTAGATTATTAATTCTAGGTGGTTACTAAATTAAAAGTAGTAAGTTGCCATCTAAATTACAGGTTATTTCTTTATAACTTGTATGTATAAAGTACAATGCTACCAGACTGGACTAAAAGTGATTGTACATCTTTAATATGAAGTTTCTGTAACAAACTTTTTTTTATCACACCAAAGTAGAAGCACTGTCACTAGATATGTAACTAAAATTGCTCTTGATATTGTTACCAAAGGTTGACCTCCTAACCAGCAAATCAAATGGGACAACAGATCTTAACTGGACTCTTAAGATACTGAACTATCTTAATATTTCTTCTGCCTGAACTCTCTCCCTCTTGAGCCTTCTCTAATACCACTCATTCCAGTTTTCTCCTATTCATTCCGTCACTCCTTCAGTCTACTTTGTGGGTACCCCTTCCCACAGCCATTCCTGCTAGTTTTCCTCAAGTGCTACAGTCAGTCTTTTTATCTACTCACTATGCACACTCTCCCATATACAAGGCTTCGCCAATAACCTCAATGAAAAAAAAAATCTGTAGCTCTAAGAATTCCCCCCTAATCACAAACACTCCAATTAGATATCTTTACTTAGATGTCGTCCTAAAACTCACTGGTGGTCAGAGCCGAGCTTATCAATGTATTGCAAAACCTTAGCCCTCTCCTAAAACTCCTTATCTTGGTAAATAGAACAGCATCCAAATGGAACTGTAGGAACAATTTATGACTTCTCCCTCAGCTCCCATATCAATTTTTTTTTTTTTTTGTCTTTTTCCTTTTTATTGGTACCGGGGATGGAACTCATGACTGCCTCTTTGCAAGGCAGGCGCTTATGCCGCTGAGCTAAATCCCCAGCCCCCTCCCATATCATAATGATCATCAAGTCTGACAACCTATACCTGCTAAATATCTCATATACACCTCCTCTTTTCCTTATTATCTTAGTCCTGTTACCATACCTGCCCACCTAGATTCTTATATTGCCTGGTCTCCCAATTGCCACTTACCCCAATCTAATCCATCTGCATGTGATTCTACTGTATATTAATCCCCTTCTTAAAATCATTTGATGGATTCTCTGTAACCATCTCTTTTACATTAAATGCCAGTTCTAGGATATCTGATTACTTTTTCTCCCTTATGACCTACTACTCCTAGTAATACCCTGTGCACCAAACATAGTATTACACTAGCAACTACCTGTTTATTCTATCTCCTCACTAAAATAGAAATTCCTCAAGGTCAGGAAGTCCAGCACTAGACACAGCTTTATATTCTACATCCAGAAAAGAGCCTAGTTAATGCTCAATAAAGGGGGATGGTAGTTGTTAGTATAAAATCCATGTTAAGGGCTAAGGATTTAGCTCAGTGGCATAAGCACCTGCCTTGCAAGCAGGCGGTCGTGAGTTCGATCCCTGGTACCGATAAATAGTTAAAAAAAAAAAATGTTCTAAAAGTCCATGTTAGGTATCTCCTGATGACTCAACCCGTAACTACCTATATTTAGTTTTTAAAGTAACTAAAAAGATAAAATTACACCAGAAAATATCTAAAGTACACTTCAGACTATCAAATGATATCTTTTTCATACTGCTCACAACAGCACAGACAACAATCTGTCGACAACAATTTTTACCAGCACAAAGACAAGACTTAAATAAAAAAAGTCTAAGGTTCTTAAAATAATAACTGAGATAATCCTTTCCAACTCTATAAAGGGAAGTATATACCTTAACCATATAATTGTTGCTTGCATAGACAAATTTGTTTTAGAGACATTAAATCAATAGAATGTTACTTTTAATCTCAGAGAAGTGAGCAATGACAATCTTGAATTCCATCTAAAGAAAAGATTTTTAATGTCTTGATCTTTTAGCTTTCTGTGCATTCACTGGAAAACACTCCCAACCCATGCTCACTCTTGCCCTCTCAAGTGCTCTCTCATTCACGTGCACTCACTGTCTCTGCCTCTGCCTCTGTCTGTCACACACACACACACACACACACACCCATACATACACACCCCTTCCTACTCACTCAGGATTCATGCTGTCATGTTTATGACAGCAGGTTAGACAATAAAGACAAAATCATCAGGATACAGCTGGTGACCGCACACAGTAACACAACTCTAATATAAACTTTAGCAAACAACATGTACTAGGAACCACACCATGTTCCTAGCCTATAACCCACAAATCCTACTTATTAAAAAATGACATTTCAAGAAAAAGAATTAAAGAGAGGAATCATAAATATTACGATTTAACAACAATCTAAAAGTCCAAAAGCTAGAGGTATAATTTAGAACACCTTTTTAGATAATTAACAATTATATATTTGTAAAGATTGAAGGCCCAAAAGGAATTAAAATAATTGGATTTCTTTTGAGAAATATTTGAAATACTTTTTCTACTCTCACGTAAAATTGAATACATGGTTTTTGAAAACAGCAAGAGAAATATTAGATCCCTATAGCAATAACAATGGTAGCAATTTTTCTAAAAAAGCCAACAAATTTAAAGTAATAATTTAATTTTGAGGTCAGGAACTCTCATCATCTTATCCCCATGGAACTCAGCACGCTATGTGTGTAAGTGCTGACCATTTCAGTTCCATTTGTTCTTACAAACTAATCAGCTATGACTATAATCAAAAAGTAGAAAATTTGTCAATCTTTAACTGTACCATACGTACTTAAAACATTAAAAGCAGAAATCACATTTCACCTGGGCATGGTGGCTCACACCTGTAATCCCAGCACTTGGGAAGCTGATGCAGAAGGATCGTTGCAAGTTTGAGACCAGCCTAGATCACAAAGTGAGCTCAAGGCCAGCCTGAACTGCATAGTAAGACTCTGTCAAGAGTCTCAAAAAGACAAGATAAAATTTTTTAAAAAGCAGAAAAAGAAGAAAAAGAAACTACCTTTCTTCTTTGTCCAGAGTTTTCTTCTCTGCTGCAGTGATTTTTTTGGGCGGAACAGGCGGAGTCACTTTTCTACATATCTCTTCAATGATGCGTTTGTTCATTCTGCTTTGCAATGCAGCTTTTAGTAAAATTCTTTCTACTGCAGTTATACCATCTCCATGACTATATTTAGGAATTTCTGGTTGAATTAAAACTTCGATGTCATCAAGCCACGGAGGATAGTAAGAGTTTTGTTTCCCTGAGAGTTTGTGGTGAAGTTTAATAAGCAAAGACAATATACTTTCTTTAATTTCCAAAATGGCTGTTGTTAACTGGGGAGGTGAACCAGGAGCAGACCATTTATTTGAAGTTTTAGGACGAACCACCTGATTTGCTTCACTGGTACTGCGATTGATGATCTCCTGAAATTTCTTTCTGCGCTCTGCTACTAAGCTGAAAACTTGAGCTGTCCCAGAATTCTACCAGTACAAATGAGAAAGAAATCAAAAGAAGTTACTCAGCATGAGTTCTAAGAATATGTTACTACATTCATTTCCAAATGCAATGCTCAAAGTGTCATCCAAATGGCTCTTAAAGTCTATCCCTTCATCTCTCTCTCAAACAGATTTTTTTTTTTTTTTTTTTTTTTTTTTTTCTGTACTAGGGATCAAACTCATGACCTCATGCTTGCCAGGCAGGCCTTTGTGCCATTGAACTAAACCCTCATCCCCTTATTCCTTTTGATCTGGAAACAACGAGAAGAAAGATTATCAAATAATATTACTTTCTAAACCTCCTGAGCGTGTCTACAAAGAAAAATAAATAAAACTTAAGCAGTATCTATAGTCATGCTGAAGAGAAATCATAAACTAAATTTCTCCAGTTTAAAGAAAGAAATGCTCTTCTATTCACCATTCATAAGGAAAACCAAATATACTCTTCATTAATTTCAGAAAGATTGTTTCCAGTTAAGAAAATTATGTTAATTTTTTAATTTCCTAAGTTAATGAATCTGAGCTAGTAATTAATTTTACTAAGGAACTTCAGAAGTTTGAAAATTACTTCTTACAAATAAAGTTATTACATTGACATATAAGGATGAAATATCAAATTGATTTCACATTTGAGTATCATTGTGATTTGTTATTTGAATAGATTTTTAACTGTTTTTCTCAATAATTTATCTTCTAAGCAGTCTTCTTTGATAAAGCAGTCAAATTGCATTAGAAGTCTCCGAAATCATCTTTTAATTAAGATATGAGACAGTTTAATGGATTTCATTAGTTTTTAAAGGAGGCACAGAAAGAATACCTTAAGTTAGAATGTTAGAATGTGCATTGTTTTTTAACATCCAAGCTTTAAAAAAAAAGCATTCTACCTTCAATATAGGCAAAGCCTGACTCTTAAGAGGTTCCAATATTTAAATTTAAACCCCTTATGATGTTTACAGAAAAAGCATGTTAAAAACAAAGTTTTTACAAATAGACACTATGAAAAATGTCTGATTCAATACTCATAAAAAAGCTAGTTTATAGAAACCAAGACCGCTTAAGTTTACTGAGTTGGCATGTCATTTCAAATTTTTTATTTCTGCTTTAATTAAGTTACATGCAATGAGCACTGTTTTACAAAATAAGTCCAAATACACAACATTAAGAATTTAACATTTTGTAGGCTTATCTTATCAAAATAAATTAATTTCCATGGAAGCAAAAAAACTTTTAAATGGACATGCTGCTAGCAATTAAATTTATTTTTTTTAACAAATAGTAGAGTCATTTCTAACATGTTAGTAATTGAAACAAAGTTAAATGTAAATAGGTCTAAGTGTGCTACTGTAACTGGTACAAAATACTTGTAACATTAGTAAACAAAATATACTATTAACTACTCAGTATTATTTTTAAGAGTAATAATAATACAAGTCTTTTAAATGAAGACTAAATAGCTTTAGTAAAATAAAACACATGTAAATTAAAGAAACTTTAAGGGCAGCAGGGTGCTAAAGATAGACCCCTGGGCCTCATATATGCTAGGCAATTACTGTACCAAGCCTCGTATCTGGCCCAATTTTTTTTTAATTTGGCCATATTAATCAAACACACACACACACACACACACACACACACACAAATACTTCAGTGTGGTTTTTTTTTTTTCTTTCTCATTTCCAGTTAAAGCCATGTTGCTAGTTAATGCAAATATCATACACATCTACCTCTCTCTGAAGAACTTTAGGTGGTCGCGAACGCTGGCAGGTTAAAAGAAAAAAACTGGTGAGGCAGAAGTCACTTAAAACATCAAAGGAAACAAAAGACAATTTAAAGTTATCTATAACCACATTCTTTTTTTCTTCTGAATATCACAGATATGATCCAAACAATGTCTCCCAACATTTAAATACAAACTGTTTCCCTTTTTACTTTCACACTTACTTGTAAAGAACCCAAACTATCAGAGCTCGTACTTGCAGGTGGGTCTCTCTTCACTTCAGGAGCAGTCTCCGGAACTCTCACTCTCACATAATTTATAAAGTGTCGCATGTTTGATACTAAGTTACTCCCAGGAAACCAACTGTCATGACAACGTTCTGGTCCATCCACTGATATCTAAAACAAAAATAACCAATATAAAAGCTTGCCACTTCAGTTGTAAGGTACAATAGAGATGTAACAAGCCCAAAAAATCATCTTCTGTCTGTCATACTCCTAATTCCTTTACAGTCTCATCTGCAAATTATAAAGTAAATGAATTTAAATAAAACCAAATTGAATTTTTTTAAAACTACAATGAATAATAAATAATACATGGCCCAATAGTATTATAGCTAGGTCCATTAAATTATCAAACAACTAAAACATATATTTTCAATCTAAAAATATTTAACACTATAGAATACTTTCTTCTTTCCCCATTTCCCAGTCCTGGGGACTGAATCCAGGGCCTTCACTGAGCTATATCCCTAGCCCGTATATTTTTTGAGACAAGGTCTCACTAACTCGCCAAGCTTCCCAGGCTAGGCTCAAACTTGTAATCTTCATGCCTCAGAATATTGCCCATCACACATTGGTAATAATACATAATAAAGTCAAGTCAGTAATAACACAATATAGTCAAATAATGCTAGTTTGGACTAAGTATGGAAGAAAGTTTGAAAAATCAATCATAAGTATGATTTAATCCTAAAGGAATCTTAATGGCATTCTAACACATTCAAGATGGTGTTGTGACTGGTATATCTCACTGCCAAGCTGCTTAAGCTACCATACATGTGTGACTTGAATCACTGGTATAAGCAAGACTGTCCCATCACGTAGCTTGTACCACTATGGGCACAAACAGATCTAATCACTTATATCAGTCTTTTTACTAATAAAATTAATAAAAAGCTGTCCAATGGCACAGTCATGCATGCACCATCAGTGGTTCAAGTCAACAGGAACATGTTAATATCTTAAAAGCAGAAAAACAGAAACAAACAAACAAACAAAAAATACCCTGATACAACTTAGAATACAAAATAGTACCTAGGGTTTTGTTTTGTTTCTGTTTTTCTTTAGCTATTATTATGCTGTGTTGTTTTTGTCTTTCTGGGTAGGAGATGAAAAGAATCTTATATTAGTAAAATTATTTTGTGGTACCAATTACTTTTTTAGAAATAATACTTCTCTTCTAAAGTCCTGAAACACATTAACAACTTGTATTATTCACTACTTTAAACCTTTTATTTATTCCATTACCTCAAAATCTTGAAAGAATGTGCTAGTAAAAAATAAACCCTAATCAAATTATTAGAATTAATGTTTTAACCATAACATTGAAATGCATCAGTCATTTTCCTTAAGTTAATTTTTGTGACATGAACAATAAATTTCAAATTTTAAAATTCAATAAGTAAAATAATCTCATAAGTATCAATGCAAACTCTAAAGGACATATGTCTTTGAAGACCAGTAAGGCCTTTTCTAGTACCAGTAGCTCTTCAGAAGATCCTACATGAGTATGAAGAATTCCTAAGTATACTTTATGTTTACATTAGTCTGCTGACAACTGCCTACAGTCAGATGGAGTAACCACCTATCTAAAAATTTTTTTTTCTTTTTCTTTTTCATTTTTATTGGTACCAGGGATCGAACTCACGACTGCCTGCTTGCAAGGCAGGTGCTTATGCCACTGAGCTAAATCCCCAGCCCCCCACCTATCTAAAAATTTTAACATATAGAAAACGACTTACCTCTTCATCTGATTCATCTTCAGCTGAATTTTCAAGTCCTAATTCAATCAGATACAAGACCATGCAGAGTACATGTTCTGACAGATTTTGATGATCCATCAAAATCTTTAAAAAGGGAAGAGAATGACTCATAATTTTTTCCACATAATACAAAGATCCAAAAACATTTTAATACAGGGGGAAATAATCAAATATAATTGAGCATACTTGATAAAAATCAATATGTAAGTGATGGTACATCTTGGTAAAAGAAGTAAAATCAAATACAAGTTTCTTTTACAGATTACATAGCACTTTAAGCACTATCTAGAAATAGTTTGCAAATTTCCTTTAAGTTAGCAAATCAGATAGCCTACTAACACCATTAACATAAACATATCAGTATTTTTTAAAAAATTCTTGAGACAGCGTCTCATTGTGTTCCCAGGCTGGTCTCAGACTTATGAGCTCACATGATCCTCCCACTTCAGGATTCTTGGGACTAACAGGTGCATACCACCACATCTGTCTTAGTAAGATGATTTAACAAGCCTATCCTACATCCTAATTTGTTGATACTCTATCCTAAAGACAATGCATCAGATAAGTAAGTTTGTCAAATGGGACAATTTATGCAAATGCAAATGTGCTTAACACAACACCTCATAAATAACTAGAAACATGATAAACATTTACAAAATATCAGTGTTCTTCCAATTTGTCTTTAAGATTCTGAGCTTCTGAGTATTGTGTGCACCTGTATAAATGTGCATGTCAAAGTGTAAAGGAGAAGGGAACAGTTAGTAGAAAGCATTCTCTGAGTTAATATAATAAAACTGACCTTATACATAACATCACACAAGCAAACCTTATACATTTTACACAGAATTCCAGGCCTATTTACACCAATCACTCTTACGATGTGATAAGAAAATACCTAAAAGACTGTTAAAAAAAAAAAAGCCTGACAGCTATCTTGTCTTTATTCTGAAAATGCCACCAGATCAAGTGATGGAAGGAGCAAAGGAAGGGCTTCTGCAGGGATAGCAATGTCAGTTATCGGTAAGACAGAGAACAAAGGAGGACAGGCTCCAGTGATGGCGAACCTCTTAGAGCTTTCAGTGATAACAAACAGCCCGGTGGGGCCATAGGTTCACCACCTACGGCTGAGCCCCAAGGAAACTGCCCCAACAGCTGAGGGACTTAGGAAAGGACTTGCCACTGAAGACCTAATATACTGTAACTAAAAGTAAAGATTTTTACTTCCCTGACTTTCTAATGTCTACTTTTACCACTGAGAGGGTCTTTTCATTTATTTTCCTGTGAGGCATAATGGTAAAGAGCACAGGCTCTCAAATTCTCTTAATATAGGATTTTTAACAAATTCTGTCAGTGCCTACTTGACCTGAAAGAACACATCTCAGCCTTACTTTTCTCATCTCTAAATCTGGATAACAGTCCAGAATTGTCATGACAATTACATGTGTTAACATCTGTCATTTGCTTTTAATCCAGTTCCTATCAAGTGATGCTCAATGACAGAAGGTTCATTGATGTCAACAGTGTGACAAACAGAAGCTACAGAAAGAGGGAACTGCAGGCCAGGAGTCAGTAAGGGTGGTCTTTTTCTTCCCACCTCCACCCCAGTGCCAGGAAGTAAACTCACAACCTTGCACTTGCCAGACGGGCACTGTGCCACTGAGCTATATCCCTGGCCCAGGGTCATCTTTCTAAACTATGGCATTACACAGGGAACCAAGCCACAGCCATATACCCAGTTTGTGTTAGTAACAAAAACAAAGATTTCAGATTCCAAAGCCATTGCCTATCATTATCATACCTAATTTTCTCAGTAAATAAAACACTGTTAGTTAAATTCAAATAAATTTTACTGTGATATCACATAGGATGTCATTATTTTAACTGAGTGATTTAAAAGCTTGAGGGGGTATTCACTTTACTAAGTCCTATAAAACTAAAAATGATTTTTCTGGAGAATTCTATTTTAGCATATTCTTTAGTGTTAAACATGGCAGGCAGTGAATGTGGTTTGTGACAAATGATTTCTAGAAAGACTTGCCAATGCAACAGCAGAGAAGTTTTTATTATAATTAAAGTCAGAAAAGCTATTATTAACATATTTGAAAAGTTAAAAATACTAGTCTCGGAACAACTAAGACATCCTTTTTATTTCTGATAAAATACTGTGTTATATTAAGCAGATTTTAAGAGTTAAAAACTTGAAAAAACAAATCATTTGCAGTTAGGCTCCTTAATTTTCATAAACTATTAATTATCACTGATAACAACACTGAACTTTACCATTTGAACTAGTTATCAAATCTCTACAACTCAACTTTCATACTGACAGTAATAGAACTCTCACTCAAAGATTTTTGCTAGAACTAAAGTAACATATACAAGGATATATGAAGCACTGTTTTAAAATCTAGCACTAAGGAAATCTTTAAATAATGTTTGCCACTTTTAAAATAAATACAAATAGTTTTTCAGCAAAAAAAAAAAATCTATACTTTTGTTTCAATCTATATTTTTTAGTGACAAAAAGAGCATTTTAAATCACTTTAATGACTAATACCCTTAGAAAGTAATAATAACTTTTCAAGGCATTGAGACATTGATCTAAAAGTGTAAAGTAACATTTAACTTTTTTAGCAAAATAATCGGTCATAAGTAAGGATGAAAGAAAGAAAAGTACAAAAATCCAAAAGCATTCATCTGTTATGAAGCAAACATTAGAGAAAAAATTAAAATGATTTCTTAATTAAAAATTTTTGTTTGTTTGAAAAAGCGTCTTGCTATGCAGTTTAGGCTGGTCTTGAACTCACTATACAGCTCACACTGGCCTCAAACTCACAATGATCCTGTTGGCCTCAGTCTCCCAGGTGCTAGGATTATAAGCATGCACCACCATGCCTGACTTACTTAACTAAATTTAATGCATACTATCTTAACTAATAAAAATATCTGTACATGGTAATTGCTAATTTGTATAAAAATATGCTTAATTTTCTTTGAAAAATTTTAACTTAATTTTTTGTACTCTAAATTAAAAAATAAATAATAAGTTTTTCTTTATATCTAATTGTATATTTGTTGTATCTGTAGTTACAAATATTTATAGAAATTTTATCTATATAACATGGGTACAGTTACTTTATCTTCCTTCTCTTATCCAGGTAAGATGACAAAAATCCAGGGTAAGTAGAGATTCCACAAAATTATATACTTCATATAACTTTTGAGTCCGCAACTAATATTAGACAAGTAAGTCAGTTCTGTATAGGAAGATCCAAGAAAAAAAAAAAAAAACACAAATTCTAAGTAATAAGAAAGTAAAAGCAATTTTTGAGTTTACAAGATGTAGTGCCTGCCTGGCAAGCACAAGGTTCTGAATTCAGTTCCCAGCACCAAAAATAAAATTGCTGAAGACGTTTACCAAAAACAAGTTTTTGATGCCTCCTCATATGAGCTCACTCAAACCCACTGTGCCACATTCCTAATCAGAGGTCAAAAGGAAAGACAGCCGCCATGCACTAAGGTCACTGGCCCACATAGCTGCCATGTTAGAGGGTTTGGGACTTTTTTAATCCCTCAGTTCATTTAATACAACTCTTATAGTTTTAGAACACTTTACTTCACTGTACTACAGAAGCCATAAATAGACAATTCCATCCAAAGCAGAATACGATAGTTTCTCACAAAGATTGGTGTGTCATTTTTTAACTTTCCACTTGGAATTCATATATATGCAACTAAAACACCCATCTTTATCTTTGCTTTATAAACACACTTTGCATTACCAGTGTATGTAAATATTATTCTTTAGCACTTTAGTTGGAATATTATGAAAATAAACCCTAGTCTAAGTCTTTCTGTTCAAGTTACTACTGTACCTTGTAAAGTAGAGTGAATAGCACAATGTGCAAAGTTTTACAGTGCAAAAGTCTCATGAGACCTTTATAGCTAGGATGAAGTGATGTCCTTTTCTTATAAGGAGGCCAGGGATTTCCAGGGAATTTTCCACTCTGTTTTAAACTGTAAAAATAAAACAAATGAAAATTAGATTACAGACTCAAAATTAAACTGTGATTTAAATAGTAATTTATAGACATCTAGTTCTGTCTTATTTTTCTATGCAGTTGATTGAAAACACTAAACAGATACATATTCTCCACAAAATAAATACAAACATTTCTTTTTTATAGGATAAAAATTAATAGAACTAAGTTATATTAACTACTGTTACTCTCTTATTATTTTGTTATGAAAGTGTTAGTGCTTATAGTCCTAGCTCTTTAGATTGAGACAGGAGGATTTTTTGAGCCTAGGATTCAAGAATGGGCAACATAGTGAGATCTCTAAATCAAAAAACCAGAATCAGCTAACAGAGAAATCTATAACAATGACAAAGACAACAAAAACACAAAATAAACTATTCAGCAAGGACATTTCTCATTCTAACAATAGCACAAAGTAGATGACTTGAAAATTCTTCTACTATAGCTAGAAAAGCTGGATAAAATATAAAATATAATCTTTTGAATATATATTTGAGTTCACCTAAAAAGTAGAGCTTGCGGGGCTGGGCAGCATAAGTGCCTGCCTTGCAAGCAAGCAGTCGTGAGTTCAATCCCTGGTACCGATAAAAAGGAAAAAGACAAAAAAAGTAGAGCTTGCTACTATCAAAAAAAAAAAGACAACACTAAGTTTTAACACTGTGCAAATGGTTTCAAAGTCCATGAACAGGCACAGCACAAGTTGCTGGGCTTGTCAAATAAGGCTCAGAGACAGAAGTGAGACCCCTGCACACACATATCAAGACTGAGACCTTTGAAAGTGTTTTACCTCAATGAGGGAGATAACTCCCAAGCAGAAATAAGAAATCTGTCTGTCTCTTTCGGGATGAAAGAACAGACTCTCCATGTAGACAATATTTACAAATTGGTAAATGAACAACAGCAAACTCAAAACACAAAAAATAAAATCTGGGAGAATTACAAAGAGAAACTGTCTAATCCACAACTGTTATAAAACATGGTAAAACATTTCTGAGGATCCAAGGAAATAAAAATTTTAAACATCAGTATTTCAAAGAATACTCTTAAGAAAGTACAAAGCCCATCCACAGAATGATCGAAAATACTTTCAAATCAAGTACCTGATAAGTCTAGTGCTCAGAATACAAAAAAAGGTTCTAAGATTCAATAATAAAAGCCCAAATTTTAAAAAGCAAAAGAGCTATGCATAGTGGCATATGTCTGTAATCCCACCATTTGGGAGGCAGAGGCAGGAGGATCACTGCAAGTTTGAGGCCAGCCTAGGCTACAAAGTGAGTTCAAAGCCAGCCTGAGCTACAAAGGTGAAACCCTGTCTCAAAAACAGAAAAAAAGAAAACCTGCTTGCCTAAATCATCCTGTATTAAAATTCAACATCTACAAGCTTCACCAGCAAAGTAAGAGTTCTTAATAACAAGCAGGCAAAATTATCAGACATCTGAGGAATAATGTGAACGCTAGAGACCAAACAATAGATATCTTAAAGAGGTACTGTGTAGGTGGGGCAGAGTCTTACAATTTGAAAAAAACTATCACCAGATGTCATAGCACATGCCTATAACCCAGCTACATAGAAGACTGAAACAGGAGGATCATAAGTTCAAAACCGGCCTGAGGAACTCAACAACTTCCTGAGATCCTGTCTCAAAATAAAAAATTTTAGAAGGCTAGAAATGTAACTAAGTGCAAAGATTCTGAGTTCAGTGTCCAAAACTGAGAGAGAGAGAGAGAGAGACAGACAGACAGACAGACAGACAGACAGACAGAGACAGAGAGAGAGAAACAGAGAGAGGGGGAGGAAGAGAGAGGGAAGGGGGAGAGAAGGCAGGGGGAGGGAAAGAGAGAAACGAGAGAAAAAATACTACTGTTAACGTACCAAATAAGTGAACTACACTTATAATTCACAAAATGAATGCCATAAAATTAACTATATCTTTAAAAAAAAAAACCTGCCTCTTATACGATACTATAGTAATATAGATAATATCATTCAAAACAATTCCAATTCCAATGGCTTACAAGGAAATATTTCACTATTCTGTTGCATTTGGTAAAACAAAAAAAACAGCATTTTCAATTTTTGTCTTTTTGTTCACTTTAAACACTAGCCCCTAAATACGGAGCACCTCGATTAATAAAGCAACACAAAATAAAGGTTATATATTTGTTCAAGATAGCAAATACTACATCATTTTGATTGCTCTTTTCAAAAACATTAATGGAATCATACAAATGAAATGTTACATGACAATCAAAAAAGACATTTAAGTGACTCAAAACAACACCTAATTATTGACCAGTTGAAGATAAAAATGGATATAAACTCATATATCATACTTTCAAATACGGGGCAGCAGCCATTAACTTTCAAGATAAGCAAGCAACAAAAATCATATTTTTAAAAATCTACTTTCTATTTAAATGTAAACAGCTACTATATAAAGTCACTTTTGTTTTTTGAGAAAGACCTAGCAACCATAGTTCCAGCATGGCCATTAACAAGCATATTTAATTGCACTCTGGGCCACCATGTCCTCATACACAAAAATATAACAATGAATGAGTAGTTTTCCAGTTGTTGGTTTGTTTCTTTTGTTGTTGCTGTTGTTTGTTTTCTTTTTGAGAGCTGAACAATCCATTAAAGGGTATCTGGGAAGGAGTGCAGGGAAGGAGGAGAAGAAACATCCACTCAGGCTGCCTTCTCCCACTTTTGCCCGGCCCCCTCTTCCAGTGACAGCCAGTGAATGTGTACTACATCCTGAAGGGCTTTCCCAGAATCTTTTAACACCTAACATCACATAAAGAAAATGGCTTGTTTCCACTCAAACTTAAAAGAATTTACTTTTCATGCATCTCACATTTATTGACTGCCTACAAAGTGCCTGCCACCAAGTTATAGATCCTGAGGATGCAATCGTTTTAGTTTATCCAACCATTATTGGCTATTATTCTTCAAAGGGCCTTTCTATTATCTTCCTGAAAATATAAATGGACCTAAGTAAAATCAGTAAACCAACTTTCTGTCCTTTAAAACCAAAAGATGAACAGAATGACCAATAGCCAATAAGTCCTATAGTTTAGGGTAATCTTCCAAAATAATAGAGGTGATTTGTTCTAATAGGAACTAGAATAAACACACAATAAAAAAGACTCACAAAGGATGCAGATGCTATACTTTACATAAACTGAATTTCAAAAAGTTCAAAATTTACATAAAAATAAACACATTTCTTCATAGATATTTACAAAAAATGCTTTGAAGTTTTCAGTTTTTGTTTTGGGTTTTTGTTTTTGCTTTAAGACAGTCTTTCTATGTAGTTGAGATTGGCCTTGAACTCAGGACAATTTCAAAGGTTAACTTACAAGAAAGTAAACAAAAAAATTTTTTTAACTAAATCTGTTATTATTGCTTTTAGAACAAATTTCTTTTAAAACATAGCTTTTCAAACTGCTAAGAAACATATAGCACTTCAAAAATATTTCTAAAACTTTTTAAAAAATTGTACAGATAGCAGCACAGCACTTGCCTAGCAACTGTTAGGTCATGAGTTTGATTCCCAGTACCAAAAATAAATAAATAAATTGTATGGGAACTCAAAAGCCAAGCTGAAGAAATTGAGAGAATTAGGAAAAACAAGGCAAAATAGAAAAGTAGAAAAGAGTACTAAAAGTAGCTTTGGAAATACAGTTATCAGGGGCTGCGGATTTAGCTCAGCGGCATAAGCACCTGCCTTGCCAGCAGGCAGTTGTGAGTTCGATCCCCAGTCCCAATAAAAAATAAAAAAATTAAAAAAAAAATGGAAATACAGTTATCTAATTCTGTGAAGTAGCTATGAATCAAATTATGAGACATATAAATAATTACTAACACAAAATAGATTTACAATTAGGATTCCTCATAAAAAGTATACCTATATCATATAAAACCAGATTTCCCAACATTGGCACAAGTGACATTGAAGCAAGACAACTCTTGGTGGTAGGGGACAGACCTAGCCTTTACTATCAGTAACAACCCTACCAGTCTTTGGGTATTGTCTAGTTCCCCAGGAGACAAAAATCATCCCTAGTTAAGAACCACTGCTCTAAAAAAGAAATAAACTGCTTGGAAGTAAATGAAAAGATTGTTAAGTGAAAAATAAAAGATACAACTTTCTTCCTCTCAGATTACATGGCATAAAATAAGCATCTAAAAAATAAGTACTGTTAATAAAATTTATCCTTTAAAATGGTTTATTTCTGATGACTCCTTAAAAGCTTTGACTATCTCAGCCTAATTCCAGTCTGAATTGTTATCAGTTACTGTTGGGAGCCGCAGCCCCGAGCCCGGTCGCCTCACTTGGCGGACGTGAGGCCTGTAGTAAAGAGTAAAGCCTGAGGTAGATTACCCCTCCCATCGAGCACGTTAGTTTCCTGCTTACCGCGTAAGCAACCCGCTCAACAATATAGTCTGCCTGGCAACTGATGATGTTAGCCAATCAGCTTGCCTTGCTTACTTTAACATGATTGGACACTGTATCCGTATATATACTGGTGCCACCCCTGGGGGGGAAGAAGAAGCCCGGAAGTAGAAGCCCAGAAGGAGCCGCGGGGAGCGGACCAAAGGAGGCTTCGGCTGGGAGCGATCCCAGGGCAGGCTGTACGGAGAAGGAAAATAAAAGAAAAGGTTGTCCACTGCCAGGCTTTGTCGTGTGTCCTTCCTGCCGGCCGGGAGCGGACATCGACATTTGGAGGCCCGCCCGGGGACTGATCACCCCCGAGACGTGACAGCGGACAACGCTCCAGTACAGAGCTGCGAGACAGGTGAGTTGGGGATAAGCCTGGGCTCTGGGTGGCGCGCACCTACAGGGCTTTTAGACTCCCCTCAGGCTCACGCGTAAGTGGCGGATTCCTTGGGCCTCACGCGGTGAGTAACATATTAAAAGATGGGAAACATGCTAGGTAGCAACACTAAGAGCGAGGGTGGTTGTGGAGAAAGCTCTCAAGAGCTTACAAAAGTACGCAGGGTATTTGAGCAGGCCCAGTCGGGGAGCTCCCGAGAGGGGCCCGTCAAGGGGAACAAAGATGCTAAGGAGAAGGACGGGGCTCTAGCCTCGGAGTCGTCTGACTCCGAGGACGAGGGAAAGTTGAATGGCAAGGAGGCCAAAGAGACCAGCTGTCAGGAGCCTAAGTCGCTCGATAAGGAGTCGCAGGGTTCTTTCCCAGTAATTCAGGGTACCACAGAGCCATTTGTTGACTTTGTGGCCCGAATGCAAGATGCTGCCGATAAGATATTTTCTGATCCGGGAGTGGCTCGACCGCTGGTAAGGCAGCTGATTTTTGAGCAATGTACAAAGGAGTGCAAGGCAGCGATAGCTCCTCATAAGAACAAGGACCTCAACGCCTGGATTAGGATATGTAGAGAGATAGGGGGGCCGCTCTCCAACTCGGGAGTGGCTGCTCTCCTGGCCGCGGCTGTACAGCAGAGGGGACCTCGCGGGTTAGAAGGGGAATGTAAGGCTAGAGGGTGTTTTGCCTGCGGGGAGCCAGGACACATTAAACGTCACTGCCCAAACAATGCAGATGCTAGGCCTCGCCCTAGGAATGAAGAACCATATGTTTGTGGGCGATGCAAGAGGGGATCACACAAAGCTGAGGAGTGTAGGTCGGTCTTTGATGCTCAGGGCAACCGTATTTGTGGACGAGATGCTAGAGGGCCAAAAAACGGCCAGAGGGGGCCCCCTTCACAGGCGGGCCCCCGCCCCAGAGACAGGACAGCTCAGGATGGCAGCCTTCAACAAGGGCCACCCCTGGGTCAGCAGGTGTGGACCTCAGTGTCGCCTCCAGACTTATATTAGTGCCTGATATGGGTGTTCAAGTGGTTGAAACCACCTTTAAGGGACCGTTACCCGAAAATTCCGTGGGTCTGGTGATCGGGAGATCCTCCACGGCCCTTCGGGGTCTCATAGTAGTCCCGGGGGTCATAGACTCAGACTACACAGGACACATTAAAATTATGGTTCAATCTCTTGTGGGTACTATGGTAATCAATAAAGGAGACAAGATAGCGCAGCTCTTGCTGCTCCCCAGTCTCCACAAGAGATTCCCCTCAAAGCAGAAAATTAGAGAAAGTCAAGGTTTCGGTTCCTCAGGGGAAGTCTTCGAGGGACTCCATATAATACTTGATAAAAGGCCCATGCTCTCACTTAAGGTCAATGGCAAGAATATAACAGGGCTCCTAGACACAGGAGCTGACCGTTCCATTATCTCTAGAAAGGATTGGCCCTCCAACTGGCCCACCAACACTGCAGATAACACGCTGCAGGGCCTGGGGATGGTGTCAGCTCCTCAGGTTAGTGCTTCAACCCTGTTCTGGTGCGATGAGGAGGGTCATCAGGGCCATTTCCAACCATTTGTGTTGCAGTTGCCAGTGTCTCTATGGGGAAGGGACATCCTCACTCAGATGGATGTCACGCTTACGTCAAACTGCTCCCCCCAGGCTAAGGATATACTCAGGAACCAGGGATATACCCCCGGCAAAGGCTTGGGCAATGCCCTACAGGGTCGGACATCCCCAATACCAGTAGAGAACAAAAAAGGTAGGCAAGGGCTGGGTTTTTCTTAGGGGCCGCTGAAGAAGCTCTCCTACCCACTTCGATCAAAATCACCTAGAGGTCAAATCCCATACAATCCCCAAGGTCAAGAAATCATTGAGAGGGCTCATAAAAGCCTCAAAAAAATTTTACAAAAACAAAAAGGGGGAGTAGGCCAAGGCCTGGCCCCAAAGGCACGATTATCCATGGCACTATTCACACACAATTTTTTAAATTTAAATAATGATAATTGCTCCCCAGCCGTGGAGCACTGCAACCCTTCCCCCAACCATAAAGGGTGGGTGAAGTGGAAAGATGTCCTGACAGGACAATGGATGGGCCCGGATCCAGTGGTCAGCTGGAACCGAGGCGCGGTTTGTGTTTTCCCACAGGAATCGGGACGAGAACCACTGTGGGTACCGGAGAGACTGACACGGGCGACAAAGCCCTCGACTGAAGATCAGACCTGCCCTACCGGAGATCCATCACAGACCAACCAACAAGATGAATAGAAATAGCGGTAGCCCGAAATGGACAAGAAGATCCTCAGGCATATGCATGGCTCGCTCGCCTAGCCTACGACCGAGTCTAGGGGCGGTGAGCTTCCCACACTCCTCCTCTAAAAAATTATGACATAGCTGGGTAGGAGAGTCAATGACGGGTAAGAGCGTACTCCCCCGGTGCGACTCAACCTAAGCCAGGCCCTACCCCATCCTGCACGTAAGCCGCTGGACTGTTAGATGCTGCCCAGGTCTAAATTTCTCTCCGAGGGGATTTCTTTACGGAGAGGAAATGAGTGCAAGCTTGTGTGCATCCAGGTTCCGTCCAGTTTGTGCCTGGCCCTAGAAAAAGGACGAGGGCCTCAGGGCCTTGGCAGACCATGGGACGGCCGACCAGGGTCTAAGCCAAGGACCTACGGTGGGCCTACGCATAGGGCATAAGCCTCTGCACCCAGTCCAGAAAGGGCTACGATGCGCACATTCATAAAAAATAAAAAAGGGGGAGATGTTGGGAGCCGCAGCCCCGAGCCCGGTCGCCTCACTTGGCGGACGTGAGGCCTGTAGTAAAGAGTAAAGCCTGAGGTAGATTACCCCTCCCATCGAGCACGTTAGTTTCCTGCTTACCGCGTAAGCAACCCGCTCAACAATATAGTCTGCCTGGCAACTGATGATGTTAGCCAATCAGCTTGCCTTGCTTACTTTAACATGATTGGACACTGTATCCGTATATATACTGGTGCCACCCCTGGGGGGGAAGAAGAAGCCCGGAAGTAGAAGCCCAGAAGGAGCCGCGGGGAGCGGACCAAAGGAGGCTTCGGCTGGGAGCGATCCCAGGGCAGGCTGTACGGAGAAGAAAAATAAAAGAAAAGGTTGTCCACTGCCAGGCTTTGTCGTGTGTCCTTCCTGCCGGCCGGGAGCGGACATCGACAAGTTACAAAAATGAGACAATATTAAATTCACTGTATATTTCAATCTTTTGTATTCAAAATGACTAACAGCTAGCCACTACCACCACTATCCTGAAAAAAGGAAGAGCAACTTTAGATAAATACTTCCTCCTGCTCAATTTTTAATTTTTCAATGTGAACTATTCAAATTTCTTCATTCAACAAATATATTCTAAATGTCTACTATGTGCCAGTACTAAGATACTGAAGATGGATTTTCTCTCAAGGAGATAAGTTTAATAAAAGCCCACAAACAAAGAAAATATTATGAAAACACAAGAAAAGCATAAAAAGAGGTAACCACAAAAACAGAGGAAAGAGAATCTAAGAAAATCTTCCCAAAGGGTTTTAGAGAAAGAGAGAAATGCTAGACATAATATCTATAATCATACTTCAATGGTTTTCTAGATGAATATTTAATCAAGATCAAAGATGTTTGCATAAATATCTTAAAGCTTGTTCTTACAAATTTTAAACTCTAAAAAGATCACAAATAAACTGGACATGGTAGTGAATGCTGTGCTCCCAGGATTCTAGGAAGCTAATGCAAGAAGACTGCAAGTTCAATCCTAAAAAACTTAGTGAGACCCTGTCTCAAAATTTTAAAGGGGAATGATTTTCAATGTGAAGACCCTGGTGTCAATCCTAAGTATTCCAAAAAGAAAAAGGAAAATTACAAATAAAAGATGTTAATCTTTAGCAATATGGTATTAATTATTATAGTGTAAAAGAGATGGATATAATATATTAAAACAGCCCACAATTTTAAAAAGTATACAATCAAAGTTTTCATTCAAAACTTATTTTATGACATGAACCAATATTTTAAACTTTTTTTGGTACCAAGGATCGAACTCACAGCTTAACGCTTGCCAAGCAGGCACTTACACCACTGAGCTAAATCCCCGGCTTAAACTTCTTTTTATAAGATACATACACAGAGTTCACTTTGTTTTGTCTAGTCTCTTAGCTGCTCACACACCGGTATTTTCATGCTTTTTATAGATACTCATTATCATCTCTGATGTCAGTTTTATTTTCTTAGCTTGTGCCTCCTCTGCTGGCTCAAAAGTAGAACAACACAAAATCAAATTTCAAATTCTACTGATCAAAATAGTCACCAAATTTTTAATTTTGATTTAGAAATCATTTTCTTTACAATTTACAATAAATTTTGGATAAAGATCTTAAGAAGATAAACGTCAACTAAATTGATTTTGAAGACCTTAAAATATTATTTTCTCCTCTAGGATTGACAGTATGCTTTAATGAAAGTATATCATATATGTAATAACTGAAATTGTTCTATACAAATACAGAATATTCCACCATGCCATTAACCAATGGGATGGACTTACAATGCTGTGTATCTGTCCATCGCAGACTGCACATCTCTGCGGTACACTGTTCGAAGAATGACCATGACAGGGTCAAACTCCTGATCCCAGACTTCCGCTATTATCCAAACAAAGTAGAAACAAAAACTTACTTTTTAGGAAGAAAGTCAGTCTTTATCAATGACCTTATTATATTTGTTAAGTACATGCTAATTTCAGTACATGGAATAGTTGAATTTTATTATATTTGCCTTAATAAGCTTGATGTTGTGACTACTTTTCTAAGTCAAAAATCACAATTTCAGCATTATCTATATGCTCAAATTCCGTAAGCACTAATGAGCAAATTTCAATTTACACTCTAAAAAAGACCACAATAAACTGGACACAGTAGTGAATGCTGTACTCCCAGTACTCTATGAAACTAATGCAAGAGGACTGCAAGTTCAATCTTGGAAAACCTAGTAAGACCCTGTCTCAAATTTTTAAAGTTTTATAACACTGGGCCAGGGATTTAGCTCAGCAGCATAAGTGCCTGCCTGGCAAGTATGAGGTTGTGAGTTCAATTCCCAGAACCAAAAAATAAGTTTTATAATAATGCCCATCATAAAAGTTTAGTTCATTGCTCTTGCTCTTGGTAAGGTTCCCACTAGAAAGTAAGAAAGTACATCAACATCTTTAAAAGTATTCAAAGACAAAAACACAAAAAGTGGTGTAAATAATAATGGGTCACTGATTTTTGAGTCTCATAAAACCTTTTACTTATAAAAGATTTGATTGCCTTTTGCTAAAATTAGTAGTTGTCCATTCTGCCTACTGCATAATTATGATTTTATATGTTTATGTGTACAAGCAGTGGTACATAAGATGACTTTTAAGTGTATATGGCTTTTTATCATAATTACATCACATATTTTTAATGTTACTAGAAAATTATAAGTTGCAAATAAAACTCATGACTCCACTAATAATCATGTTTAGGGTGAAATGAAAGTTTTTATTTTAAATTGACTCATTTAATAAAATACCATAATATTAAGTAGGCATAGCAAAAATCTAAAAGGTGACTTGAGGATAACAATTTTACAAACCACTGCCTTATGAGTATTTAAGGTATCTTCTCATTCGCCATAGCAAAATTCTTGACATTTGAAAACAAGATACAAAGTTTAAGCAAATTTCAACTTTCTAGAACAAGAAACTGTTAATTATTTCAAACTCTGCTATGCAAAATAATCATCTGTATAGCATACTTAAAAAGCAATTCCCAGACTTCACCTACAGAGATTCTGACAAGACCACATGAACCACATGTATATACACAAACGTACCTTTGGGAGTATACATGCCTTGTTGCATGGAACCTCCAGGTTCAAAAACAGGAGCCTTAAAATCGGCTACGGCTGATAAAACTGACTCAAAGCTATAACTGCCTGGGATGATGCCACTTTTGGGATTGGGATTCTCTGGAATATAATGTATGTGTCAAGAAAAAGGCTTAATGACTGAAAACCAGTTTTATAGGCTTCCCAAAGTATTCGAGATTTCTAATTGTTTTTACTAAGCTAGAGAATAATTACTTGTAATATACAAAATTGGCCACAAGAGGGCTATTAATAGCTCAATAACTATGAATCATGATTTTAAAAAAATATTTTAAATCATTTTTAAACCAAAAGAATACGCAAAAAAAAAAAAAATCTGTCAAGATTTTTATGAGAAAATTTTTTTCTAAAACCACAAAATTTCCCCAGGATATAAAAATGCAAAGCAGATTTAAGCAAAGAAGGAAAGCAGCACAATACAAAGATATTCTTTTTGTATGTCACATTAAGGTATCTAATTCTTAAATTCAAACCTATGAAGAACATTTTTGCTGCATAGCACAAACTATAATGGAATCACCAAACAACATCAAATTGATTTGGTTTATGAGACTTATATCAAGATAGTCAAATAGGTATTCTAAGGAGTTATTTTACAAAACCCAAATTTCAAACCAATTCTTCCAAACAGAGTCAGTATATACCCAAATATTTTCATAACAAAATTAAATTATAATCTTTAATTTTTAATAACAAAGAAAGTTACCCAATCTGTGTTCAGTCTTACATAAAGAACCACAAGTTTCTGGTTTGCAGTCAATAATCTACCAAACTAAAGAGCTGAGTATGGCAGTACACACCTGTAATGTCAAGAGGCTGGGGCAGAAGGATTACTGCAAGTTTGAGACCAGCATGGGCTACAAAGTGAGCTCAAGGCCAGCCTGAACTACATAGCCAGAACTTGTCTCAGAAAAAAAAAATCTACAAACTTGAAAATTATTTAATATTGAATATTAAAAACCCTTGCAATATTTAAAACCCTGGTAATAACTATAAGTTGAACCTTTAATTGTTAATCAGGATTCTGGCTTATCTACACAGATAAAGTAGACTTAGTTACTTTTTACAAAATTTCCAGCTTCCTTTCACTAATATTCTCCTAGAAGGCTAGTTCCTGGCATGTCCAAAGCCATCAGCCTAAGCCTAAGGAGAAGCTCCTGAAAGGTAGCAATAAGAGGTAAAATATCCATCACTATCCCTGAACACATACTTGAGCAAATAACTGGCATTCTTCTTTTTGCACATTATTTTTCAAGTTGGTGGTGATGGGGCAGGGCCATGGTGAAGCCAGCATGTAATTTCAGCTACTCTGGAGGCTGAAGCAGGAGAATCACAAATTCAAGGGCAGTCTAGATAACTTAAACTTTATCTCTCAAAAGAAAAATAAAAAGGTATAGGGATGTAGCTCAGTTGTAGGGTACCCTTATGCCACAAAAAACTCCCAATACCATAATATCCCTAGTATAATACCACAAAATTAACCTTAAAAACTGATACAATCCATAAAAATCATTTATTTCAGATCCTGCAAGAGAAAATTTAACTTTTAAAAGGATATGAGGTCCAGCAATGAGCTATGTGTCCTGTCATTCATGCACAGCTGGGCTACCATCTCAGCCCTGAGAATCTCATCATCAGACATTCCTAGAATTATTACAAACAGAATAAACCTGAATATATAAAAATATAGAGTAGAACTTACTACACATTTTTATTTGGTTATTCTACCAAATGAGATGCTTCAAATTCAAGACCACAGACTCCAATACCCCACATTTAACTGGTTTACCCTGATATTTGCAGTTCCCTTAAGCAAAGACATTTTTAAAGACTGTTCCACTTGACCATGATAGCACAAACCTGTAATTTCCGCATTCTGGGAGGCTGAGGAAAAAGAATCCCAATTTAGTAAGACCGTCTCACAATGAAAAATAAAAAAGGGCTGGGGATGTGAATGGTTCCTGGTACAATCCCCAGTACTACAAAGAGGCTATTCCAAAAGCTCTAGCAATTATACAACCCATCAAGAGTTTTAAACTATGTTTAAATATATCCTTTCCATTTTCCATAAGGCAGTCACCACAGGGAAAGCAAGAAAACTGAGAAGAGTAAGTATTTAAGTATCATTAGTGTTTGTGGTTTTTACCTAAATGTAAACGAAGACTCAAAAGAATCACAAGGAACGTAAGAGCGCCTTCTAACATGGATCTCTCATGCTCCGCATCAAGTACTGTATTTTGATGTTGTGATGCCATTGTCAATAAATCTACCACCTTAAATCTATAAGAAGAAATATATTAATGAAATATTTTAATATTTTAGATTTTTAGAAGTTAAAATTATCTTAAAATTTCAGACACTTCCTAATACCTATCTTAATAAAATCACGCTTACCTTTCAAAGACTGATGATATAAAATAATCTGGGTCAAGTCTAGAAGCACAAACCTTTAAAAGAAGAAAAAAGCTGTTCTTCTCAATATTCAGTTTTACTTCTTAAGATCTTGTAAAAAATGTTCTGTATGTCATGATGTTCTGATGGGGGGGGGGGTCTTACAGACTTGTGGAGAAAGTGCCTCTCCCCACACTAGCTAATTCCTGAACAGTAAAACGTTACTTGAGACATGTCTCCACAGTAAGCCAATAATACTTTATCTCTTACACATCAGTGTAATAATACTTTATCTCTTACACATCAGTCCAATTTTTAAATCAACCCAGGAGCAAGTACCAGGCAGCTTCTAGGTACAGCTCCCCATACAGCAAAGCTTATTACAATTATTCAAGCTACCCAAGTTTAGACTCTCTACTCCTCTGCTCTATCTTGCTTTTTCCCCAAACCCTCTACTCCCCACAAAGCACAGACCTAAGCTTTCTCACTTCTGCTTCTGCCTCCTGGCCAAAACCTGGTGCCTCCTTTGTGGCCCTACATGATATGGTCTTCCCTTGGGAAATGTAAGTAAGGAATTCTTTTTGTAATGTCACTACACTCTGTATGTCATCACTCGTTCATCTTTATAAATTAAAACCCCTTAGATACAAACAAGACACGTCAAAGCTCCAAGTTGCTTGCACTATCAGGTTGCTTACCTGTAATAGGTAAATGTCAGGATCAATCATAGAATTACAGAAATGAGACTGGACATAGGTCATAGCTTGCCCTTTGATTTGCAAACCATTTCTTACCCACATATTGCTGTGGATTTCAGCAAGACTTGCCTAATAAAAAGTAAGTACATTTGAAAATAAATTAATGTTTATAAAATTTTGTTATATTAAACAATCATTTAAAAACATTTTAGACTTAATCATAATATACACCTGACATTCTACCCAATGGAATTCTATTTCATTTGATTGTGGTTTTGGTTTTGGTTTTGGTTTTGGTCTTGGTTTTGTGGTACTGCTGTGGTTGTGGCTTGAGTTTTGTTTTATTTTGTTTTTTGGCAAGCGGTTGTTTGGGTTTTTTGTTCTTTAATTTTTTGAGGCAGGGTCTAACTAGATAGCCTACTCTGAGTTGAACTTATGATCCTACTGTCTCAGCCTCCTACAGTGCTAACATGGTCAGCATGCATCACTACATTTGTCACATATTTTTAAACTTTTAAAATAAAAATTATGCTTTAGATAGCTTTTTAGAGTTTATACATAAGTTAGTTTTCTATGATGGCTTCTGGATACATTTGAAATAACTCCTCTGCAATCTTTCACAGGAAATCAAAGCTTATTTTTTACACAACTTCCTCCTAAAAAAAAAAAAAAAAGCATGTATACATAATGCCTAAAGAAACACAATGGAGTAAGTATAACTAACTAAATAGTCTACACCTGTAACTCAACCTAACTCATCTAAACAACTCATCCTCCAAATACTTGGTAAGTAGAAAAAAAATAGTGTATTAGAATTCATTTCCTTATTACATTAATAATTATTTATTTATGCTGTCTGAATTAGAACTAAGCAATCATAACTTTATCTTTGAATTGTTCTTAGCCCCTAGAATAATTTAAAAAAAATCTAAAATGAGCAGAAAAAAATGAACTGAAACACAAATGTATATAAAAGTCTATTGTATATAAAAGTTTGGCCCACAAAATTACTATGAAAACTGAAAGAAGTCACAGTACTTAAGTTAATTCTTTCTTCTTTCTCTTCTTAAATTACATGAGAAAACTAAGTACCTAAGGAAGAATTTCCCAAACTATGTGGAAAATATGGTATTGGAAGCTTGAAAGCTAGAATTTGTTGATCACCTGACTTCCAAGTATTTGTTAAAAGCTCCCTATGAATAAATATAATAACGAATTCCTAGGGAAATTAAAACTAAATCTATTTATAGAACAAAACAGTATCTAAATATAATCTGGCAAAAATAAAATAATTCAATTTTTTAAAAAGTTTTCAAACATTCTAATTATAGTCATAATGATAAACACAAAATAAGGGAAAAAACAGCCAAGAAATCGCACATTTTAAAATCCTGAATACACACTTGAATTTGGAGTGGGTGAATCATTAATTTCATTAACATTTCCTGATCTGGTAAAACAGAATCCAAATCCAATTCTTGACATTTCACAGCCTAGAAATTATAATACAAAAGTTAGTAATTCAGTATTTTTCTAAAATCAAAAAAAATACTTTTTTAAGAAAAACAGAACAATTTTTTAATGACAATCTTACCTTACTCAAAAACATGGCATAGTAACGATGTAGTGGCAGGTGAAAAGTAACTTGGTTAGGTGCTGGCTGGAACAAAATCCACAAGTCAAAGAATGTTTATAGAATTTCTAAGAAGGTTTTAAATTTTTAAAACAATATCTGACCTGAATATATACATATCTATATATTTTTAATCAAAATTTAAATTCAATTAAATTGAAATTTGATAATTGAATTTCAATTAATTTTAATTGAAAAATGTAACCTTAAAAAATCACTATAGAGTTCCGGGAGAACATGGCGGACAGATAACAGCAACTACCGGAGGCTCTCTGAAAAACTAGGCTCAGAAGCCAGATATGGTGCGGACTAAAGAGACATAAGCAGGTGGAGTTATGCTCTGCTGACTCAGGAACGAACTCGGCTGAGAGAAACCAACTTGGAATGCAGTCCTGGTGCTAAAACAGGAACAGAAAAGTCTCGCTGCTGAGGCTGGACCCTGTGCCATTGGAAGCCGCGATTTGGGTTTCCCACCGCGCGGTGGCTGGCTGCCTCTACATTGGCTCGGCAAGGAGAGAGACGCGCGGAAACTCTGAGAACGGGAGTCTGCGAACGGAGTCGAAAACAGGACGGGCAGAGAGGCATGTTCTGACTTGTGGCGAGGTGAGTGAGAGAAACTGACACTCCACCACAGTTTGACTCCAGCGGACTTTCTGGGCCCGAGCAGTCCTGCGGGAGCAGGGCGCAGTGGAGACTCCAGCCACACATTCCCCTCTCGGGCGGGATTGGTGAAAAGTGCCTGGCCTGCGTGACGCTGCCGGCGGACCCCGTAGGCTGGCCCAAACCAGATTCCAGAGCCCGACAGAGGCCGGAAGGGGCGGGTCTCCGCGTAGGCTGCCTGGTGCGCAGCGGTGAGTGGGAACACCTAACCGGCGCAATTCGATCAGGCTGTGGCTGACAGGGAGAGAAGCTGGGCCTCTCATATAAGCTTGCATATATAAGGAACAGAGAATATGGGAAGAGGCAGCAACAAGAAAGCCTCCTCGGCCCCCAATTCTGAGAAACAGGCAATAGCGGACACCGCACCAATACACATAAAGCACCATATAGAGAGCCTCATAGACCAATTCAGGAATGAGGTTATCAACGACCTGAAGCTAGAAGTATGCAAAATAGTTAGAGAAATGCTAAGCCCCACCCAAGAAAAAACAGATGGTGGAATGGAAGAACAGAAAAAGAGGGGAGAATTGTTTGATGGAGAAAACAGGGAAAGCATAGAATACGTGAAGCAGGTTCAAAGGGACTACCAAGAAACTAAGAAGTCTATCGAAGACTGGCATAACAGCTTGAAAGAAACTAAGGACAGACTATCTGAACTGGAGGGCAGAATTGTAATATGGGAGAATGAAATGAAAAACTTCTTAAAAATAACAAAGAAACAAACAGCAATAATACAAAGACAAGAAGATGATAAGAGGATCCATAACTTAAGGATTAAGAACATAAAAGAAGAAGTAGGGACACAAACAAATGAACTACAAAAGCTACTCACAGAAATAATCCAGGAGAATTTTCCTAATTTAGCAAAAGGTAAAGATACTCAGATGTATGAGGCATACAGGACCCCAGCTACCTACAACCCAAACAGAGCAACACCCAGGCATATAATAATAAAAATTCCAGAAATTCAATACAAGAACAGAATATTAAAAGCTGTCAGAGACAAGAAACAGATCACTTACAAGGGAACACCCATCAGAATTACAGCAGATTTCTCTGCACAAACCATCAAATCACGAAGAGCGTGGGGGGAAATAATTCAAGCTTTGAAAGATAATAATCTCCAGCCAAGATTGAGATATCCTGCACAACTGTCCCTGGAAATTGATGGAAAAACAAGGTGCTTCCAGGATAAAGAGGAACTGGGAGAATTTGCAACCACCAATTCAACTCTACAGAGAGTATTGCAGGATATTCTAAAAAAAGAAAAATACAAAGAATCCAGAAATAGTGGAGGCCACAACTAATGGAGCAGAGAACAAAGTGAAGAAGACAAACTGACAGCTACTGACAGAATAAGAGCTCAACAGAAATGAGGCAGAGAAGATTGGATGATAGGAACAGCTATTTTGGAGAAAATGACATCTTAATAGGTAATACTGATTTAGTATCATCTTGTTTTGAAGTCTCATCTAGCTTTTGTCCTTCTGTCTCCAATGGTCTAAATAGGTTGTATCTTACTGGATTTTATTATGTATGATAGTATAAGCAAAAACCTTTTAAAGACAAGGAGATTATACAGAAACCATTATTCATTTTCTGTTAGTCGATTCTAAATACTCTGTAATGCTGTCATTCTCTTAAATGGTTTTACATTGTTTTGATATACTTAATGCTACAGTATACGAAGTTGTACTCAAGGATTTCAAGGAAAGAGACAATATGGTAACTACTTTTAGGTCAGGATTATCTGGTGGTGAAACACTATTCTGCTTAAATGGTTATGTTTTGATCTGCGCTGTTTCGTTGTTATGCCCTCTTTTATCTCAATCTCCACTCCATTATTTATTTTTAATACTTTTTAAAAAATTTTTATCCTTTTAATTAAAGAAAAAATATAACAGGTTACTATATTATAGTAACCCACTTTGACTTTCCATTACCTCGATTTAAAGCCCTGTATTACTCTCACCATCTGGTTTTTAACTGATGTTCCCCTATTCTGTTTTGCTGGATAGTATCAGGTTTGAAAATTTAGGCATCAGCTGTGAAGATAGTGAGATTCATTATAACGCCCATTCTCGTTGACTTTTATCTACTTTTGAAGACCTACAATGTCTCCAATGGTTTGGTTTTGTCGGTTTTGTTCTTTACTGTTTTGTTCAATTGTATTATAACTAATGGTATAGGCAATTCTATTAGAGATAGCGGGAGGCATTATGGTAACCATTGTTGATCACCTTGTATTATGTTTTCACATTATCTATTATGTCCACCCTTTTGACTTGACCGATTCTGTTCTGTTATGTCACAACTGGTTTTACTCTCTTCCAAAAAAGTAATAAGAACCGTGAGAGCAATGAAACCCAAAATGTGTAATAGTCATTGTACAAAAGAGAGGAAAAGAAAGTGCTCTAAACTATATAACTGCATGTATATTTATGTGTATAAGATAGAATATAATATCACAGAGTTTTATTGGATCATTGAACAGAACTGTTTGCAGTATCATAGATGGAATGTCCACTTTACAAGCTTTAATTTTGTGACTTGAACAATTATTTCTAAGATGACAATATGTAATCCATTAACTAGTAATTTCCTACTGTTCATTTTTTTTCTGCAAATCTGTATAACTTGTACCCTTTCCCTGCTTTTTTTTTCTTTTCTCCTTAAATAAAATTTAAAAAAAATTAAAAAAAAAAAAAATCACTATAGAATTATTCCCATTTTAAATACCTCAATACAAGCCCCTTGAAGGAAAAGAGTATATGTTACCTGTTTTTGAACCTTCTAAAATGCCTAGCTATTGGGATTACAGTTATGTGATACCACACATGGCAAAAATTGTTCTTACAAATAAAAGTTTACCCTCCATAAAAAGAAAGTCTAATACATACTGCAACATAGATGAACCTTGAAGACATTTTACCCTAAATTCATAAGCCAGTTATAAAAAGATAAATATAGTCAGGCATGATAGCTAGCACCTGTAATCCAGCTGCTCATAAGGCTGACACAGACACATTAAAGACCAGACTGAGTAATTAATAAGATCCCCTGTTTAAAAATAAAAAGGCCACGCTTGATATCACATCCCTTTAATCTCAGCACTTGGGAGGCAGAAGCAGTAGGAACACCACAAGTTCCAGACCAGCCTGGACTATGTAGTGAGTTCAATCTTGGACTGAAATACACAGCAAGAATATGTCTCAAAAAAACATGAAAAAACGGCTGGGGATTTAGCTCAGTGGCACAGGTGCCTGCTTGGAAAGTGTGATATTGTGAGTTCAACCCCTGGTACAAAAAAAAAAAAAAAAACAGGAAAAATACTGTATGATTCCACTATGACGTATCTGGAGCATTCCAATTCATAGAAACAGTTAGCTGAACAGGGATGGCCAGAAGCAGAAGAAAGCAGGATGAGTAGTTATTTAATGGGTATAGAATTTCAGTTTTGCAAAATGAAAAAGTTCAGGAAATTGGTTATACAATATTAATACACTTTAATAGTACTGAAATATGCTCTGAAACTGGTTAGACAGTACATCTTATGTGTATCTTAGCACATTTGAAAGTTTATCTTAACCCTCCTTCTTTAACCTTCAACCTGGACAATCTATTTTTGTCCATTTGGAACCTGATTCTGCCTTAACCAAATCATTCTGATTCTTATCTGTGTATAATTATAAATCTTTAAGCTTAAACTTTATTGAAATAGTAATCAGTTAATCACCCAAGAAAACATTCTCCAGTTTTGGAAGCACTCCACCGCACATTCAGCCAGCTATATTCCTTGGCCCTGCCCAAGCTTAGACAAGAGCTGGAGCTTTACCTTTCCTTAATTTAGTTCTCATGGATATCTGAAGTTTAGAAATTATTGCTGAAACGATTGTATGACTAAAACAACAGGAGTGAAGTGGGACAAAATTGTACACTGAGGATTATGTAGTAAATGGCATAAAATTAACTTATGGAGCTAATAGAATCATGTACGCTATACAGAGCAGCTGAATTCAAGAAAATAGTATATTGTTCTAGGAAATATGTAGACATGCTTAATGTACTGTGGAATTATCTAAATGTCAATGTACTGTCTACCTTTTTATTCTTTTTAAATACTTACCAAGTCCAATTATTTAAATACAGATTGACCAAAAACTGCATTGTTCATTAATTTGTAATATAATGTTACAAGAAACATAAAAATGACAACTTTATCAAATGTATTGAGTACAAGAATCAACTGGTTAAAACGGCAACTGCCTGAGCAATGCTCAGGATAGTCAGTATATAAACACACTGACGACTGACACTAAAGGTAAAATGTTAAGTGATTAAAGCCTAACAATATTAATTGAATTCGTATCCACAAAAGTACTCATTATTTTTGGTGTTAAAGGAGATCTAACATTTCTTCAAGAGCTTTTACATGTATCAAAACCATACATACCTCATCTACAAAATTAATAGCATCAAACCAGTCTTGAAGCGCTTCAAGGCAGTATCTTACAACATTTCGGGTATATTCCTGGGTTTCCTAAAATAATATATAAATTTTATAGTACAGAAGTATGTATATTTTTAACATCAAATATGTAATAATTAACTATATACATTATCTGTATAACAGTAAAATATTGTATTTTCAAGATAACCTGTGTATTTGCCACTTCAAGAAATCATCCCTTCATAAATAGTAACAATCAACAATATGAAAATTTAAAGAATGAAATATACTTTATCATGTTATATTCCCAAGAATGAGTCAAAACTAAAGATTTAAATAGATTCACATTAGTCCCATTTCAAAAGACTCCCACAATATTATACATTCTTGAATGTTACCACTATTGAATAGGTAGAGTATCTTGGAGACTGATGAAAAAGTACTAGAAACAGACAATGATGATTAGAAATTGGCACTGGGAATGTACTTAACATCATTGACTTGTATATCTAAAAATGCTTAAAGTAGTAAATTTTGTTACTCATATTTTACACAAAAGAGAAGGGCAGAACATATAAATATGGTAATCTATACCACCATCCCTTATAACATAACTGGGAGGAAAAAATAACTGTAAGCCATTTGAAACAGGGCACTCTGAAAGGTAACTGCAATGTTTTATGGTAAGAGAATCCTCTAATATGCAAATGTTAAGTTAATTGAAAATATAAATGAAGAAAAGCGTCTCTTAAGACCAGGGATATAGCACACTGGCGTAAGTGCCTGCCTGGCAAACAAAAGGTCCTGAGTTCAATTCCCAGTACAAAATGAAAAAAGCCTCTCTTATAAAAAAAAATTATAATAATAAATGGGCAAAGGATCCAAATAGACACTTCTCCCAAGTCAATATACAAATAGCTAATAAGTACATGAAAAGATGTTCAACATCATGGGAAATTGTAAATCAAAGCCAAAATGACATACCATTTCACACCCATAAGGTAAGTCATAATTTTAAAAAGATAAAACTTTAGAAAGAATGTAGAGACATTAGAACTTTCATACATGGCTGGAGAGAATGCAAAATGGTACAGCTGCTTTAAAAATTACTTAGGTGGTTCCTCAGTAAATGAAAGAAATTACCATGTGACTAATTCTACCACTATATATCTTATACCCAAGAGAACAGAAAACATTGCATGCACGTTCACAGTAGCATTATACATAGAAGTCGCAAAAAGTGGAGAATCAACTCTGGAGATCCGGCCATGGAGGGACTCAGGCAGCTTATTGACCCGCCCTCTTGGTAAGCGTCTGTAATGCAGGCCAGGAGGAGAACAGAGCTCCAGAGATCCGGCCATGGAGGAACTCAGGCGGCTTATTCACCCGCCCTCTTGGTAAGCACCTGCAGCTTGGGCCTGGAGGAGAACCATTACCTGTGAGCCTACTGCCACGCGGTCTGAAAATCAAGCACCCTTCCCCTGCCTGCCCCTTCCCTCCATAGCTACTGGGGATAGATGTCTCAGCATGTCTTGGGAGGATGACCATATGCAGTATAGCAAATATGGGGGATTTCCTTCTATCTTCTGATTGAAGGCAAAGGTTGTTTTCACTGTTTTGCTCTACTCAGTATTCTCAATTGGTTTTATAATGTTCTATTTTTGGTTTGATTTTACAATACCTAATTGACTGGACAACTATTGTTAAGTTAAAGAGATATACCATAGTACTTATTACTACTATCCCAGTATCCTACTGTGAAATCCTGTACCAATTTCACTGCATTGTCTCAATTGGCTTTGTTCTGTCTTGTGCTATTGCATTTTTACTACTTTCAAAATAAAAAAAAAAAAATACATGTTAAGACTCAAGCATGTGTAGAATCTATAAACAGTTTATGAGAACTGATCTTATGACATTTGATGAAATGAACAGATTCTTTGAAGAAAAAGAGACAGTAAAATACCCAGTGCTGATCCTGGAATGTCATAATGTGAAACCCAGCAATAGTGCTATTCTTTGTTCAGAGTGATATTATCCTGCTTGGGTTTATTCAATGTCAACATAATTGAAGATATGGGTAACTGCATATATGTTTAAGTATATAGGATTGATAACCATATTTCTAAGTTTTTGTTGGATAGTTGAACAAAACTGGTTGCAATCTCACTGTTTGAATCCCCACTTTATATGCTCTACTTTAGTATCTTGAATAACTATTTTAAGAAGACAATCTGTAATCATCAACTAGTGTTTTCTTATTATTTTTTTCTTTGAAATTATGTATTATTTCTACCCATTTTCTGTTTTGATTAGTCTTTCTTTAAATTCAATTTTAAAAAGAAGACACTATAATACCCGGTGCTGGTCACAGAGTGTCATGATGTGAAATCCAGCAATACTATTATTCTTTGTTCAGAATGATTTTAACCTGCTTTAGTTTGTTTAATCTAAACATAAATGAAGATATGGATAACTGCATGTATGTTTAAGTGTATAGCATTGTCAACTATGTTACTAAGTTTTTGTTGGACAGTTGAACAGAACTTTTTGCAGTCTCTCTGTTTGAATTTCCACTTTACATGTCCCATTTTTGTACCTTGAACAGCTATTTGTAAAACAACAACATCAACTAGTGATTTCTTACTGTTTATTTTTTCTATGAACATATGTACTATTTCTACTGTTTTCTGTTTTGTTTAGTCTTTAAATAAAAATTTAAAAAAAGAAGTCACAAAAAGTAGAATCAATCCATATGTCCACCAATTTATAGACAAAATGTGAAATATTGTATTGTGGAATATTATTCAGCCATAAAAAGGAATGGATTTCTGACACATACAACAACATAGTGGAATCTTAAAAACATTACTCAGTAAGAGAATCCAGATACAACAGTCCACATATGGTATGATTCCACTGATATGAAAAATCCAAATTGGGACCTTCATTGAAACAAAAATGAGTTAGTGGTTTCCAAGGGATAAGAGGAATTTGGAATTGGTAGGCATGCAGTTCCTTTTGGTAGTCATAGTAATGTGTTAATAGTGGTAATGTACAACTTTGAAAATATATTACAAACTACAAAATGTACACTTTAAAATGGTTAACATGGTGAATTTAATGTCAATCTTACCCAAATTTTAAAAATTTAAGGGCTGAGGATGTAGTTCAATGGTAAAGTGCAATTATTATTCTGTGACATTATCATATAGGTTTTTGTCTGCTTCCTCTACCATCACAGAAACCAAACATCACTTATCATTTGGTCAACCTTCTGTTTCCATTTATGCAATTTATCTTTGTAAACTGTTATTTCACACATTTTGCTTCCCACTTTTCATTGAATAAAATTTACTAGAACTTATAAATAATCTTTCTTAAACTAATCTGGGAGATAATTCATAGTTCAATGCCCAGTACTCCCCCCCCACAAAAAGAAAAGAGTATTTTAAAATATTATCAGCTATGTGTAGGTATCTGTGTGGTGCTGGAGACTGAACCCAGTGCTCTACATACTAGGCAAGTACTCTACCACAGTGCTATATCCCCAGCCCAATTCCATTTCAAGAATAGCATATTTTAAAATTATTTTCAGGTTATTTATCTTCTTTCTTCCCACTACTATTTCTACTCCCCCCAAAAAAAACATACTGATTTATTAGTTTTATGACATTTAGCAAATAATGTAAATTTTATGAGTCTCAGTTTCTCCATTAGTAAAAAATGGGCATAATAAATACCTCAATTACTGCTATGAATACACAAATAAAATAATATACACAAAATGTTCTATATTATAGCCTACTACTATGTCTCATCAAATAGTTTAGTGCTCAAAGAAACAAAATTGGACACATCTATTAATTCTTCAGTAACTTAAAACTGCTACTAGATGGAGGTTTTGCAAAGGCTCTAGTCTCAAAAAGCAAAGATAAAATTCTAGAAATACCATCCTTTTATCCAATCTGTTACTAGTTTAGTATTAAAAGTCTGATATTTTCCTAAGTGAGCTACTTGGGCAACAATGCTTTCAAAATTATCTCTTACTGCTTTAAAATATTTAAGAGGAGTTGGACTGGGGATGTAGCTCAGTGGAATAGAGCCTACTTATAATACACAAAGCCCTGGGTTCAACCTCTGAACTCCCAAAAATAATTTTTTTAAAGATAAAGAGGAACCTGAGAAAATTCATGTACCTAAAGAAAATTTACATGAGTAATCCAAATAGTTAAGAATTTAAATTTAGCTGAGTATGGTGGCGTACTCCTGTAATCCCAGTACTTGGAAGGCTGAAGCAGGAGAATCATTTGCAAGTTCAAGACCAACCTGGGCTAGGAAGTGAGCCCAAGGACAGTCTGAACTATATAGAAAGACCCTATCTCAACAAGAAAAAAGAAAAATAAAAAAAGAATTGAACTCAATTAAACTATCACATAGTTGTGAGGCATCTGCATTTAGAAGAAAGCTCATGGGAGAAAATATAAATATACAGGAAGCAACATATACACACTTAAAGGGCAAGTGAAAGGAGCCTCATAAATACCTAGGAGGAAGAGGAGGTCTTGCTATCCCATTCCTTTCTGTTTTTAAAAGGGTAAAGAAAGCGTAATGTCCAAATAAATTTAAATGGGTTGACCAAGTCACAAGTAGAAAAAAGTACAAATGGCTTCAAATAATTCCACTGTAGTATCCTGTCCAGCACATGGGTTAACGGATTGGCCTTCATAGGGTCATGTATCAAAATCTCAGTCTAATTCTTATTTACATGATTATGAGATTCAATTATTCTGAATTTCCAAAATTTCCAGTTTCCAAAAACCCATCAAACCTGTGTGTGTAAGTGGTACGAGATTGATTTTGTATTTAGATTCCTAAAAATGTAACTTTATTGAGGACTATCCTTATCCTTTGAAAAATAAGAAGAAACATTAGGTAAATGATAAGGGGCAAAATAAAACTATCAAGAGGAACATAGATAATTATGAAGCTCAGAAGGCTATTTAAAAAATAGGGGCAACCTGGGAAATCTGAAAAAAATAAATAAATTTCAACCTGCCTAAGAATAAATTCTCAGGCAGCTCCTCACAAGCTGAATTCAATATGAAACAAAATTAAACACTGAACATTATATATAAGTAAACACACCAATAAGTTATTTTAAAGTAAATATAAAAATTAACAAAACAATTTCCAACATACCCTGACTTTACAGTGCGATAAGAGTCCCCACATTGGCTGTGCACAGGCCTCCAGTTCAGCAGCAAACGCAGCATAGTAGGTCTGAGACTCAAACTCCACGTGTTCATTTAGTTCTCGCTTGTTTAAGTTCATACCTTGCAAAAATTAAGAGCACAACAGTCCTCGTCAAACAGAAGCAAGAATTCAGACTAACAACCAAGGAAAATATTTTAGTACCCAGCACATTTTTATGCATACGAAAGCAAAATAATGTAGTAGTCTAGAAATAAATTTTAAAAATGAAACAGAAAATACTCTAGTACTTTTAGAATATTTCACAAACTCAGTTTTCTTAGAAACACTTTGTGAATGTCTCATATACCATAATTGAATATATTTAAGAAAGTCAAAACAATTTTAACTTATGTTGGTTGAAATTTTTATTCAAGTGGTATAAATCTTTCTTGGGAAACAGATTTCATATGTCCAGAATTTTTTTTGTACCATCAGTCAAACTCACGGCCTCGGTTCACGAGGCAAGCACTGCACCACTGAGCTACATCACTAGTCCCAAATGTCTAGGTTAATGGATTTAAGGTGTTGAAAAAATTTATACTCTTGTTTCCCCTTTACAATAATTTGACATTTTTCCTAATGTCCTGCTATGCTTTTACAAACAACTTATTATGAAAGTTCTCACAAATAACAATTAAAACATGAAGGTATTATCTTTTAAGTAGTATTTAATAGTTTAGCATTAGACACGGTGTGAACTAAAAAAAAAGATTAAATTCATACCTTGAAAGAAAGATACAAAGTTCATCCATGTAACCAACAAACCATGGTCCTCCAAAAATCTCTTAGCCACACTTTGATGAGAAAGAATATTAATAAAATCACTAACAAGAGGCCAGTAAGTGTTATTCTTCAATAATGCTTCTCCACAATTCACTACCACATGTAAACTATTTTCTTCATCTAAAAAAAAGACATACAACCAAAAAGCAAATAACTTCTATTTTTAAAAAGTGACTTTATCAGTACTACCAAATATTATACAGTTAGAATCAGACACTTATTTTAAACCCCAGCCTACTATGGCAACTTATTATTTAGACTCCAAGTCAATTACCTCATTTATAAAATGAGGCAAAAAAATATCTACACATACATATGTCTTATAAGAATTAAATGACACTTGACACACTATTACAGTAATTATTACCACATGACCTATATATTACATTATATTGAGCTAGCTGTATACTTATAAAACTACTTTTTTAGTAGACATGGCAGCACATGCCTGTAATCCTAGCACTTGGGAGGCTGAGGCAGAAAAACTGCTGTGAGTTCAAGGCCAGCCTAGGCTACACAGCAAACTGGAGGCCAGCCTGGGCTACAGAACGAGTTGAAGGCCAACGTGCCTTGCAACAAGAAGTCAAAAGATAAGAGAGAGTTGAAGGCCAGCCTGAGAACCTATTTCAACCTTCCCTTCAAAAAAAAATCTACTTTCTTACGCTAATGATATAGTTCTCATTCTAATCAACAAAAGACTTTATTCCTAATCTCATCTCATCTCATCTTATCAAATCACTATTTTAAGTGATATATAATTGCTTCTTTTTTTTTTTTTTTTTTTTTTTTTTTTGGTTTTTTTTGGTACCAGTGATTGAACTCATGACCTTGCACTTGGCAGGCAGGTGCTTATACTACTGAGCTAAATCTCTAGCCCCTATAATTGCTTCATTCTATACGAAGAGCATGCAAATAAAACTTTTTACCAAGTGGTGTATTTCAATGATGAAAGAATGAAAATACACATAAACTTCTTTAAGCTTTAAAAATAATTCTCAAAGTGCATGATGTTGGTTTGGAAAAATACTAGACTGCACAAAATTCATCGTTAATAAAACTTACTCATATCTGTTGCAACTTAACTGATTAACTGGACTAATGAACTTATCATTCCCACTGCAAAACACACTAATATTCATGATACACAGAATGCTCAAATAGTCTATTTGCACGTACACAAGCTGTAAGATATGTTTACCAAGAATCAATATTTATTCCTGTTCGTACTTATTTTATTATGTGTATAAACTAATTAAATATGAGTTCGTATGGGAAGATACTTAAAAACTGGATCATAGGCTTTCAAGTGGCAATAAGTGTGGAGGTGCATCTAAAAGCCTTACAGCAGAAAATCAAAACGCCTAGAACAGTGGTGGCAAACCTATGTTACATGTGCCACAACCAGCTGTTTGGTATCAGCAAAAGCTCTAAAAGGTTTGACATCACTGGCCAGAAGTATTTTACACTCAAGATTGCTTCACAAAGATCTTTATAAACTCTTCTTTGCAGAGGTTGAAACTGGGGAACATAGGAGGACTGGAAAGGAATGCGAAAGTAAAAAGAATCAAGATTCAATATATTTAATACCTCACAATGAATATATTATATACCACAAATATATGCCAACAAAAGTGTTTAAATAAGTAAATAAAGAGATTAAAACCAGAATTCACTAAAGATGATTTACAGAGCTGGTATACATAAGATAAAACTTCAGTAAAGGAAATCATATCCTGAAAATATTCTGCTCAAAATTAAAAGACTGAACAATGAATATACATTTCTGGGTTTGAAGTTAAAATATAATATTAAAGGTATGTATGTTTCATTTTTAAAAGGATTCCTAGCTTGAACCAACTTTTCAATTAACAATCTACCTATCAAACATAGTGAAGAGGGCCTCTACTGCACTTCTTAATTTTTATAGACTATATTTACTTTTAGCTCATGGAATCACTTTACTGAAACTTAATGTATAACAAGAGGACCCACTGAAGCCAGCAGATGAAAGAGGGAAGCTGACCAGGGGAAGTAAGGAGCCTTTCTCAAATTATCCACATCCAAGATTTTGAAAAGCATCTTCCTGGACTGGGGATTTAGCTCAGTGGTATAAGCACCTGCCTGGCAAGCACGAGGTCATGAGTTTGATACCCAGTACCAAAAAAAAAAAAAAAAAAAAAAGCATCTTCCTGACTGACAAACTACCACTGTGAGTTGGTAAACCAGTGACAATGATGAGATAATGCTGAGGATGTGCAATTAATGAAAGAGAGACAGACAGACAGGCAGGTAGAGACAGACACAGAGAGAGAGAGACAGAATATAAATAAATCATTCATTGTCCCATTTAATTGAAACCAGGGGATGAATCAGCAGAATATAAATACTCAAAATCACTATTTTCTTGACACTACTTTAAATACTACTGTCCTTGTGAAAAATGCCTAGGAATCTTTCATGAAATGAACAATTAGGACTTCTATTTTTACCCAAACTGGTACTGTCCTCCCAACAGACATAATGACTCAGTGTCAAATGAAATTCGTTCATCAACAAATATTTATTGAGTACCCATGTAAGGTCAAGTATTCTAATCTAAGACAAAAATGGTAAAATAAAATATTCAAGACATTGTGTCTCTATGAAGATTAACGTGGCAGTGTGAGAAAGGCTACAATAGGGAAAAAATATGAAATCTTAGCAAATAAAATGAGTCCACAATCAACAGATTTTGCTTTAGCAATATTTAAACTGAGATCCATAAAACGCAACAAATTAGGATTATCCAAATAAACTAGGGATGGGGAACAAATGATGTTCTAGATAAAGGTATAGTATGTAACAGAAGGTTGGAATCACTTGGAGCAAGAATCCAAAGGAGAGGTGGTATAAATGAAGCTAGAGAACCTCATAAGCTATTCACAAGTATGGAGTTCAGGTAAAGAGCATGGCAAGCCACTTGGATTTTACATGACAACATGATCAGTTGCATAGTGTGGAAAGTGACCAAAAACGAACAGTAATGACCACAGATAAAGAAGCCTAGAGATGACAATGACTTGAACTATGGTTAAGAGTGGCATGAACATATACAGATGAAGAAAACTGATGACATAAATACACAGAGAATGTTTAAATGACAATCGGTAATGTCTGCTGTATCTACAAGGTGCAAAAAAAAAGTCAAAATGACATACAGGTTTTTAGGTTGGGAAACTTAGTAAATGGTCAGACAGTGGTATCAGACACACACTCAGGTCCATGTTCATTTATATACACACAGGGATTTACAAAATAAACCAGGTTAGAGAGTTTTTGCTAAGCACATTGTTATATCTGAGGTACTTATAGACATCCAAAGATATTTTTCCAATAGGTAGTTTGATCTGCAGGATGGAAGATAAATCTGGAACTATTAATATCTATAGACATTCTTATGGTTATGCAATGTATGACTTTACATTCTATTGTACATAAAATGTTTCATAAGACAAATATAAATTTTCAGGGACATGGAAAATTATGAGTTATGTGGAATCACAAAGTATATAAGCATGCGAAATTACACTCAAATAATTTAAGGAAAGAGGCACTATGGTGACTACTATTATGTTAGATTATCTGGTGATGAAACACAATGATGCTTGCATTGCTCGGTTCTGCCCTGCATTGTTCTATTACAATATCCTCTCGTATCTCAATCTTCCCCCTATTTTTAAATTAATCTATTTTCTCTCATTTTTTTAATTAAGGGAAAACTAAATTAAAAAATAATGGGACATATTATAGTAACTTTTTGTTGTCCTATTAACCTGACTTGAACCCCAGTATTGCTCTCCCCATCTTGTTCTGTCTGATTATTATACATTCTATTTTGTTTGATAGTATCAAGTTTGAGGGTATAGGCAATCACTTTGAAGGCAGTAAGATATACTATGATGCCCAATACGGATTGACTATCATCCTTTTTTTTTTTGAAGTCCTGTAAGGTCCTCAGTGTAGATTTTACTGGTTTTGTTCCATATTGTTTTGATCAATTCTATTATACCTGATGATATGGACAATTCAATTTGAAAACAGCAAGAGGCACAATGGTAACCACTTTTGATCACCCGGTATTCTATTTTTGCATCACGTGCTATGCCCACCCTTCTGTTCTGACTCTGTTTTGCTTAGTCACATTTGTTTTTATTCTCTTCAAAAAAGTAATAAGAACCGTGAGAGTAATAAAACCCTAAAAGTCTAATTGTTACTGTAAAAAAGAGAGGAAAGTAAGGTGGACTAAGGGATATAACCGCAGGTATGTTCGAGAGTGTAGGACAGAAAACCATATAACTGAGCCTTTGTTGGATCACTGAACGGAACTGTCTCCAATTCCACTGTATGAATGTTCACTTTATATGCTTTAATTTAGTGATATGGACAACTGTTTCTGGGAAGATAATGTGTAGCCTGTTAACTGATGATTTCGTACTATATATATTTTTTTCTAGAAATACTGTATTATTTGTACCCTTTTACTGCATTTTTTATGTCCTTTTTTTTTCTTCTCTCTTTAAATAAAAAAAAAGTATATAGGGTATAGAAATGAATATAATAAAATAAAAGTGTAAAGAAAGCTAGAAGGTACTGCTAGAAGGTTTTTTCCTTTTAGTCTTAAGCTACTGCTGTGACCATGTAAGTTCTCAATGAGTCAGCTTCTATATTTACTAAGAGTATAGATAAAATTTTTAAAAATATTGTCTAGGGGCTAGAGATATGGCTCAGTAGTAAAGCTCTTGCCTAACAAGTGAAGATCTGGGTTCAGTCCCAAGAGCAATGAATGAATGAATGAACAAATATATGAAGGAAAGAAGGTATGAGAAAGTTTACAGATTATTTTTAAATTATACAAATTTAAAAATAGAGATCCTTTTGAATATCTGTGGCTATTCAAAATATTTTAGCCTCATTCTAAGACCATTAATATAAAAATAGAGAAAGCTCATGGTACTTTCAGAAAAGTAATAAAATACATATTATAAAATGTTATTTTATTGAAAGAATAAAACCACTATGGCAAAGTTTGAAAACTGCTAGATATTTGTAAGCTTTTGCTTCAAGATGGTGTAATTTATCTAACATAATATGTTTAACAAGTGGCCACTCAAGACACAGACAATTTTTCTGCAGAACAATTTCAATAGAGTAATGGAAGCAAACACTAGATTAAAATACATTAATCGAGTTAGGTTAAGGAGTGACTGAAAGGTATAACACTTTCTCAGATATCAAAAAATGAGGCAAAGAGTAGACAGATTCACATCTTTTTCCATACACACTCTACTTTAAAGATCAAATGCAGACGTGAAAGGGAGGAATAAGAAGTCAATAAGAAGGTAAGACCTCCTGTGAGTCAGTGCCATATGTGGGCTGACTGGGGGACAGTCAGTTGCCAGCCATCTCCCATGAATAGGCGCAACACATGGACTGCGGGGGAGGAGAATAAGAAGTCAACAAGAAGCTAAGACTTCCTGCGAGTGGGCACCACACATGGACTGACTGAGGCAGAGCCCAACACTATCACCTTCCAGCACACAGGTAGGGAAAGAATACGAGCCAATGTTCTGCCACCCCATAAACCAGATGATCCAGAGAAATACAGGCTGTGATGATAGCTAATAAGGCTATAATACAACTTAATGCTTGTAGTTTCACTGACTTTGCAGGCCTAAAGCCAGTGGTCTGATCATCTACTCAGAGGATAACAACGTGCAATGTAGCATAATGAGGGATCTCCTTCTGAAGGTGTTGGCCACTGTCAGTTCCCTATTATCTTGTTTTGAAATCCTGTATCATTCTCATTGTTTTGTTTGGTTGGGTTTTATTGTTTTATCTTGTTTAATTTTTTGTATTTGATGGTATGGGTAGCTATTTTGAAGATAAGATATATTATGTTAGCCATTTTCAATTAACAACAACAACAACTATTATCTTGTTTTGAAGTCTTACATTCATTATTCTGCTTTTATTGGTTCCATTCTATTCTGTTTTATTTGATTTTACTATTGTATTCATTGCTTTGCTTTTATTGGTTCTATTCTATTCTGTTTTGTTTGACTTTACTATGTCTAAAGATATGATCAGCTATTTTGAAGACAACAAAAGGCATTATGGTAACCATTGTTGATTTCCTATTATCTTGTTTTGAAATCCCATGTCACTTATACTGTATTGTTTTGATTTGCTTTATTGAGTTTTCTTTTGCTGGTTTTTATCCTAAAATAATTTAAAAAAAAAAAAAAAAAAAAGACCAATGCAAACCATACATAAGCACAATTAAATCAAAATAAAAGGACTCCAAAGCCTGGGGTTTAGCTCAATGGCACAAGCACCTCCCTGACAAGCACAAGGTCATACATTAAAGCCCCAGTACCCAAAAAAAATAGACTCCAAGTACTTTTCAAAAAAGCAAATACTTCTAAATTTTTGAAGTTTTCTAGTACATGAATTAAAAATACTATGAGGCCCAGGGATTTAGCTCAGAGGCACAAGCACCTGCCTTGCAAGCGCATGGTCACGAGTTCAATCCGCAGTACCAAAAAAAAAACTCCCTCTCTAAATTCTACATAAGATTATTGATATGCCCAAAAGATGGTAGACACTATTTCAATTTTAAAAAGCCAGGTGCTGTGAAACACATCAGTAATCCCAGGACTCAGGAGGCTAAGGCAGGTGGATCCCCATGAATTCAAGGCCGGCCCAGGCTACATAGTGAGTTCAAAGATAGGCTGAACCATGTAGTGAGACCTTGTCTCAAAAAAATAAATAAATAAATAAAACCAAAAATAAAAAAAAGCAATATATGTAGTTAAAACTGCTGAGAGAAACGATAATGCTATATAAAGTAAAAACAAAATAGCTTTGAAATTTTCCATTGAAAAAATAAAGTATATTTTTAATGTAAGTATATTTTTAAAGAGTACAATACTATACTTACAATAAGAAGACAGAATCACATAGCAGGTTAGAAAGTATATGCCTTTGAAGTAAAGACACCCAGGCTTACCACTTAGCTGTAGAGCCCAAGATCAACTTCAACTCCCTAAGAAATAACTTGCCTCATCTATAATATGGAGCCAACAGTATGTGCTTCACAATATTAATGACAGGTAAACAAGATAAAGTACATAAAGTACTGGGAAAAGAGCTAGCTATCATTATATCTGAAGCATTATCTTCTGCACTGAAAATATATCAATTTCAGGCTATGATATCACATCTGAGTAGTCTATCAATATGAGAAAATAGGAACTGACATGCACAATTAAACAGCAGTGGAACAAGGAAAGCTTCAACTACAGGATCTCTCCTTGGAGAATGGAAAGGTTCTATTGGGAGGTTCTCTGGGAGGTACTGCTCATTGTTATTTTTAAAACTGAGTTCCAGGTGCCACTAAGTGAAAGCACAGTTCTTTCAATGTGAATTTGGCTGTGCTGCTGTAAAGAACAATGGTTCTGACATCGGGAGACATGAAATCTCTCTTGGGTCTATCATTTACAAGCTCTGTAATGTACAACATATGACTTAAATTTCCTAAGACTGAATATACTCATTAAAGTGAGGGTAACCAAGCACAGTGGCACATGCTTGAAATCTCAACTACTCAGGAGGTAGAAGTAGGAGGATCCTAAATTTGAGCCCAGCCTGGACAACTGAGCAAAACCTTCCCTCAAAATAAAAAACAAACAGCGCCAGGAGTGGTGGCACATGCCTTAATCTCAGCACTCCAAGAAAATCACAAGTTCCAGTCTAGCCTAGACAACACAGAACGTTACCAAGACCTTAAAAAAAAAAGTTTTGGGATATGGCCCATTGTGAGAGCCCTGGATTCAATCACCAATACAAAAGAAAAGGTGGATATCACAGGGTCAGGAATGTAGCTCAGTGGAATTCCTCTGGGTCTAATCCCCAGAACACCAAAACAAAATGTTTTAACTAAGTAAATACAGCAAGGCTAATAAGTGCCAATCTTAGATAGATGTTCAGAAGCTTAATTGAGAAAACACATGAATAGTATTTGCCACAGCGTCTGGTACATAACAAATACTCAAATATTATAAATTATTTCAGGAAAATTAAAAAGACCACAAAGAAAGAGGTATGAGAGGAGTTATAGAAATGTTACGACAGATCACAAAATATCAACCATATAGTGAACATAAAAGAAGCATATAAAAATTTTCACGAAGGGAACATAAAAGATTTAAATCTATACATCATAGAAATGTAAGTGTATAAAAATATCTAAAGCATATAACAAAATTATGATTTAAAAATTAGTAACATGCCTAATAGGGAAATGAGTAAATGAATTATGGTACAATCATATAATAGTCTACAATTATTAAGGTACTTATTGACATGTATACTATGGTAATTCTTTCTCAACACTGCTGGTGATCAAACTCAGGGTCTTATGTATATTAAACAAGTACTCCACCTTTGAACTACACATCTAGTCCCATAGTAATGCATTTTTGGATCACATATTTTATCTATATTTATCATATCACTTAAAAATATAGAAAAAATTATAAGGTGCTAACAAGTTATAAATGATTTTAACTATACCTTAAATTTCACTAGAAATTTTTCAAAAATTTTATAATATTTTAAGTTGTTTTTAAGCATATAGGTATTTTTAAGGCTACATATACAAATACAAGAATAACAACTAATGACTATAATTTGGAGCTTACCTTGCAGCTCACTTTTAATAAGGCAACTTTCCATCATGTATAATAGCACAGTGACCATAATGTCCAGCAGCTGACATTCTTCTGTCACCTGTCTGGCTAGTTCCTCATTGCTAAACAATTGAACACTAATATGCACAATTCTGTTGGACATTGTGTCCGATTCATGACTTTTCTTCAGTGTTTTCATAATGAAAGCATAATGCTGAACAAAAGTTTTTGTAAAAGCAACCTGCAAAAATTTTTAAATAAAGAAAAAAAACACATTAACTTTGAATTTTAAATATTTTGCAATGTTTTAGATCAACATTTTAAAGCTATTACCAGCGTGTGCTGATGATCAAGGTAAATGAAAAAATATAGTTTTAAGTCATATTTTACCTTTTCTTGAGACATTTGCAAAACTTTGATGATTTTTTAAAATTTTCAATAGGAGGGGCCAGGGATTTAGTTCAACAGCATAAGCACCTGCCTTGCAAGCACGCAGTCGTGAGTTCAATCCCCAGTCCCCCCCAAAAAAAATTTCAATAGGAATTTTAATTTAGGTTTTAAAGAAATTACAAATAGATGGGGCTTTTTGTTTGTTTCTCTTTTCTTCAGACAAGGTGTCTCACTATGTATTCCAGGGTGTCCTTGAACTCACTATGGCTTCAAACACATAACAATCCTCCTGCCTCAGCCTTCCACGTGGAATAATATGTTTTGTGACTGTAATAGTTCACTTCACTTACACTTGAATCATTTAACTAATGTCAATGCATGTGTCTTTTTTGTGCTACCTACTTTAACAACAAAATCTGGTCTTACAATAAACCATCACAGAGGACTTTTGCTTATGATGACTCCATAAGAAGTAACTTCTATTTGATTGGAAAACCAATTAATAATCAGACTAAATGTTCTGTAATATTATTTATATTCTTTTATTTCCTTTATGTATAACAAACACATTCTCTCTGTTGTATTTTGTTAGCAGTTATGGAGACACATAAAACAATGGTAGTATTAAAGTGTCACTTCTAACCTAAACCTTAAGGTTCTTTTCATATACTGAGGTATGTCACTACACCAGTACTAACTGTACAGCACTAGACAATCTGGGCCTAGAAAGTCTAACTACCTATATCTGCACCTGCCCATAACTGCTCTCTCACAGCCATGGCAACTACTGACCTTGTTTTCCCTATCCTAAATCTACAATCTAAATCCATATATAGCATACTTTACTGCTCCTTTAGGGGACTTAGGACAATTTGCAGCTAAATATTCACGTCTGCAATTGTGTTTTAAATTTGTCCCTAAGCATTCCCTTACAAAGACCAAGTTCCACCCTTTGGCATTCTGCTTACAATGCTGTTTTGCCACAGAGGTAAAGTACTGTACTTTTTTTGCAGACCCTGTGTTACCAAGAGAATGAGCCAATCCTCTCTCATAATGTTACACAAACCTCAGATGCACAAAAAAAAAATAAGCCTCATCTGAGAAACATAGGAAAAATATGTGATAATGAAGAATCAAAGAAAGAGAAGCTAAGTTCAAAAAGAGGGATAAAACACAAATACCTTATATTCTTGATCTGGAAGCATGTTGAGTAAGAAAGTTACCATCTTCTGAGGGAACTCATACTTTATTGTCCAAAACAACAGTTCTTCTAGAAAACTTTTATGTTTTAAAACATCCATTATGGATTGATCTACACAAGAGAAAAATTTGTCACATAATGATTCAGCTACCCATTAAAGTCACTGTAATTAAGTCAACACAAACTTCTAAAAGCAAATAATCCAAGGGGAAAGCATTACCCATTAAAAGCCTTGTTTCTAGAACCTGCATCACTTTTTTTTTTTTTCCTTCATTCTTATCGGTACTGGAGATCGAACTCATGACTGCCTGCTTGCAAGGCAGGCGCTTATGCCGCTGAGCTAAATCCCCAGCCCCTTAAATAATTATTTTTTTTTTCCTGCATCACTTTTTAAGAGCAAGGCTGTCTTACAAATCTCTGCATCCTTTCCATGCTTAGTCACAGTCTCCACAAGTATATGATGAACTGATATTCTTACTACTTCTGCTGTTTATGTCTTATTGATGATTTCCTTCTTTTTTTTTTTTTTTTGAAAAATGACCCAAGGTCATTTGGGACATGGAAGTATCAACTGTGACTAGCAAGTATCAACTGTAATACTTCTTAGGCAGAGAATACAATTGTTTAAGAAACTTGAAAATAACAGTTTTACACACATCAACATACTAGTACAGCTCCAGCTATCACAGCTCAAGATGTCTTACAGGACATCTATACCCAGTTAGGTTCTATTATCGCACAATGCGTTCAAACCAACATCACCAGATAATAGGTAAAGAAGAATAACAAAGTAAAGTTTGTCCCCATTTTGATTCATTTATAAAACATAGTTCTCTAAGGCTTGACTTGGTTCTTATTAGTATTAGCTTTGATCCAGTTTTTCCATCAGTATCTAAAAAAACAAAATGGCTCCCAAAAGCCCTGAAAAATCTATGATTTTTTTTTAGTACAGAAAGGCAAAAGTATCTCCTGAGGCACCATCAGTATAAGTATTATGTAACAGGGGTTAATCCATTTTAAAAAATAATGCTATTCATCTCTTTCTTGGAAATTAGGTACCAAAACTTTTTTCCAAGTCCCAGAATTTTTTACTTGTAAATCTATTCTTCCTAAAACAGATCATTTGAGGTGTATAACAATGATTTAAAACCAGAAAGAAATTAAACTTGCAAAAAGTGAGGTAAAATACGTTCTTAGGTACATACCAGTAGACTCAAAGACAAAAAGTAATAAAAATAAGATGAGATATTCAGGTAGCAGGCATATAAGAATTATGATTTTTTTTAAATCGGTACCAGGGATCAAACTCACAACCGCCTGCTTGCAAGGCAGGTGCTTATGTCGCTGAGCTAAATCCCCAGCCCAAGAATTATGATTTTAAATCACAAAATAATCTAAAGCAGCTTCTGTACCTTATTTAATTCTCATAATTTACTTAACATACACATAATTGAAAATTTCAGACTGCCAAAAATAAAACTATATACACACATAAATGCCTTTTAATGTATTCACAAGGCTGAACAAAATTAGATTTTGTTAATCTCAAAATTCAGGTATATTTTTGCAAGTTTGCAGTAGCCAAATAAAAAAGCCTAAACCTACCATTACTATTCCTGACATGCATTTAAAAGGAAAGATACATTAATTTTCTTTTAAATCAATAAACCAATCTATATACCCAAAAAATACTGTGGCTTCTGTTAAAATAACTGCAGTTATGTAGGATTCAATTTCTTTCTCTTCAGAAAGCAAAAAACAAAACAGAACCAAAGCAATGTCCTCATTATTTTTCTTATCTAGTTGAGTTAGTCTCCCAAGATTTTAAAGTATATGTTATGTGTTTTATGTGTAATATGATGGAAATGTGGTTAGAAATGTTTCCATTAGTTACATTTGACTATTTACCTTTAAAATCTTGTGACTGTAATGATTTTCATAGAATCACTACAAGCTATAAATGCATGACTAAGACAAAAGTTTTAATTAGGAAGCAGTGTCCATGTTCTGTACCACACAAGTTTACTAGAATTCCTGAGGCTCTAATTCAAAAGTCTTTTCTTCCATGAAAAGACTTAAAGCAAAATGCTAATTGCATAAAAAGAATCCTCAGTCAGGGTGTGACAAGAATGAAGAAAAACAATGATCTCCCACACCACAACATGTAGTTTTTAGCTTATATCCAAATGTGTCTGACAATCTGTTCCACCTTCAGAGGAGTCACGGGACTCAGGTAAACACATGGACAACCCGGGCAAGTTAAAGCACCCAGCATCCCTATGCTTCTGATGTTCTTTAGGTATCACAGATTCTCTGCTGAGCCAAGAAGAAACAAAACTCATGCATGTTTCCACCTGGATTGCAGATCAAATTTCATACTCTTCGATAGCAGCCCACAGGTTAAGTGCAGCAGCATGAGTAATTAAGAACAGACTTAGAAAAGGAGCCTGTAATGTAAATGACTGCATGTGCCACCTTTCCAGGTAGTATTAATATGCCACAAGATCATGTAATCGTTAGCACAGTTTTCTTTTCATCAGCACATTTTAACCTTTGGAGACTGCCATACCACACTAACCCAGAAAACAGATCATGCCAAGATTTGGAAATCCATGGCAAAAACCCACAGCACAGGCTGCCAACTACTAAAAAGTACTCTAGAAAAGCTTTTAGAGTTAAGAAACACAGTGGTTAAGAGTTTAAACTCCTGGATTTGAATTAAAGATCTACTTCTCATCAGCTGTGAACTAGTGTATCTCCACTTCCTCATTAATAAAGTAGCAGTAGTAATAAAGCTTATGGTTACTCTGTCAAATAATGCAGGGAAGTACATGATTATATCCAGCACCTACAAAGGTTCAATAAATGTGACCCATTATGATTAGTAATCTATTCTTTTACTATAGGCATATCTACTACTTTTTTTGACTAGGCATCTGGGAGTCCTTCATGAGACCTTACTATGTTAAGTGCTATTCACTCTTCCCATGTCTCTCTCTCCACTTTTTCATTTGTTTCTTTTTTACTATAAAAACTCCAAATTATAAAAGAGCACAAACCAAACTAAAACTTTACATCAAAAACACTAGATCTAGTACTGCCTGTAATTCCAGCACTTGGGAGGCTGAGGCAGGAGGATTACCACAATTTCAAGGCCAGCCTGAACTACATAGTGAGATCAAAGCTAGCCTCAACTACAGAGTGAGAACCTGCCTTAAAAAAAAATTTTTTTTAAACCACACTAGAACTGAATCAATCAATCAAATGGCTCAAATATAACAGTGCACATTTCATGAATGAAAACAATGAACAAAATCCCAACAATAGAAATTTTCCTTACTCTCAGGTCCTCACAATGACCTCCTAACTATACTTTCTCCATTATTAGATATATCTAATTACATAACTCTCTTCAGCTTTGATGTCTATGGCTATGGCTAGTCAAGCAAGTATTCTTAATGAATAGTATTTTTTGAATCATTTTGCTGAAAGGAAAAAAAGCAAATTCTAAATACCTTTGGTACCACTGCTTAGTTTTACCCTCTTTCTCTTGCCCAGGCCTTGACTCCCATCCTGATCCTCCTGGAGAAAAACAAAATCAGCATTATATACATAGTCAAAATCATAAATTTATTCATTCTGTATAAATATAAATGTGCTTAGAATTATGTTAAACATAATACATGCAAGCTTACATGATACCAATTTGCTACACATTTCTATATTTGCTGCAATACAAAATTTTCTAATGCTGCTAATTTTTATCAAAATATATAGTGAAGGGCCAGGGATATAGCTCAGCGGCATTAGTGCCCGAATGACAAGTACAAAGTCTTGAGTTCAGTTCCCAATACCAAAAACCCAAAAGCTCTTAAACTTGATCTGTGCTTCTAATGGAAGACTCAGAAGGACTCTAAAATATCAAAAACTTTCCTAACCTTATAGATATTAAATACACAAAAAAACTGAAGAGGGAAGTGGAGAGAAAGGATGGAGAACAGGGGAGAGCTCAAACAGTGAATAGAGCAAAAGTTTCCAGGAGCCAGAATGAGTTCAAGAAATTTAAAAAAAAATTTTTTTTTTTGGTCTTTTTCCTTTTTATCAGTACCGGGGATCGAACTCACGACTGCCTGCTTGCAAGGCAGGTGCTTATGCCGCTGAGCTAAATCTCCAGCCCCAAGAAATAAAACTCTGTAAAACAAGCACAATTTATTCAAATTGAGTTCACAGTTAAAAATAACAATAGTAATAAATTAAATGTTCTTAGGGAAAAATCCAGACATTTTCTGTATGTACAGAATGTGTGCATTCCTGAAACAAAAAAAAAACCTTACACTAAAAATAACAAGGATAGGGCATGGGGAGAGAGGTCATCACTCACAACCTATTCAAGTGTGCAACTACAGAGGTAATATAATCAACAACTGGTACCTGGGGAGATAATTTGTATACCAGGCAAACGTCTTGGGGTGCTGTGAGGTTATCTCAGAGGATGCCGACACAGCACAACAACAGAATAGGAAAATCAGCCAGATGAGACAGTGCAGGGGGAAGAGGACCAGAGGTAGGGGTCTGCCACTATGAAATCCAGGGAAAGCTACAGGTGCTCTTCTGTGGGGGGAGCGAGCTGTCAGTGCAAGTACTCATTTCTAATTTGCCTAAAAGATTGCTAGAAAGCCTCCAGCTACCTGTGTAGCTAATACCAGGATTTGTTCCTCTCTAGCTAAAGCTTATCTTTCTACTCCATTATCTCAGCTCTCCTAAGGCAGGAAATATTGCATATGGATCAACAATTTCCATGTTTTCCTGACATATTTTCCCTACTCTTAAAATGCATCTGAATCAACTAATAGTAAAAGACCTGGGCGATAATACTTTAGCATGCACTTGATTGTGCTTAAAATAGTGCTGTTAGCAACTTAGAACTGTAGTATAAACTCCCAGATAATTTCTCAATTATAGCTCATCAAATCTCCAAAGCAGACTAAGGATATAGATCAATAGCACGGTGCCTGCCTAACAAGTATGAGGTCATGAGTTTGACTCCTAGTACCAAAAAAAAAAAACCTCCAAAGCACAAAGTCTCAACTTCATATTGCAGCTCTATTTGTTCAAGTAGCTTCCTTGCCCTTTACATCATAGCCATAGCAGTTTCTGTCAAGTCCAGACCAGTCTATAGTGCCTTTCTCAAAGGTTTGCCAAAGCTTCCACTTGGCTCAGTCATTCAGACTTCAATACACCCTTCCTGGTAAGCCTCACCTTTGCCAAGACTCTATGGCAATCCACCTGACACCAGGAATGATTACTGAACTGCACTCCCTCCTTCCTATGCTGCTCTCACTTTGCCCTCGGAGAAGTTCGCCAGAATAAAATTTAACCTTAGAAGACAGAATAATAAAAAAATTATGCCATATGGCCCAGAGGGTCCAGAGTTTGAGATTTCAACCAGTAGCCATTTAGGAAATTTCTCCCTTATCAGAAACAAAAGGCAAGCTTGGAGGGGAAAAAAAAATGTTATATCCCAGGTGAGGACTTCTTTAGAATTTCAAATATAATCTTCCTATGAAAAGAATGTTTTTCATCAAGTAATGGTCATAGAAATATGAAGTTCTATAAACCTCCCAGCCTTACAGTCTTAAAGGACAATTAGAATTAGCCAGGAAAGAAGGAAAAAGTCATTCCAAAAAGAAAAGACTTGAGTGGCTGAGGGTAAAAGCTCACTGACACAGTATCACATAGTGTATCAAACTCGGGGTTTGATCCCCAGTGAAAGAGAAAGTAAGACAGTGTACACAGAAACAAAGACAAAATTCTGGAGAGATGGACCACTATGTTAGGCTTAACATCATGGGAGATATCAAACACAGCCGGGAAGGGAGATTATCTGATGGGCAAACAGGTACGCTTGTTTACTGATGGAAGAACATTTAGTAACATAGTATAGTATAGTTCCTAAATAGCAACTTGACAATACCTATGTTGAAACTATTTTAAGGTATATTCAACACAGAAATTTCAGTTCTAAGACTTTATTCTAAAGAAATAAGAAAAGCGAATCTATGTACTATATATGATCAAAATGTTACTTACAAAGCAAAAAAATCACTTTGGTTAGCAACAGAAGAGAATTAGGAAAATTACAGCAAAACTGTAACTATATGAAGACAAAAATGATGGAACTCTTTATTTATTGTGACCAAGCATTCAAAAATTATTAAGAAAATATGCTATATAGACTATCATATGGAATTATCAAACCAGTTAAGTGTTGATGACATACACAAATAAAATGTTGATAAAATCCTTGTTACTGAGGCTTAAAACTATTATTAGTGAGAAAAACGAGTTAAGAGTATGACAGCATGAAAAGATTAAAACATACTAAGTATAAAATCTGTTATAATACATGTGTTTATATTTAATGACCTCTGTTATGGCTTGTATCCAGATGTCCCCCCAAAGCCTCATGAAGTCACAGGCAGAACTTTTCAAAGGTGGCTAAATCTACAGGATGTGATGCTGAGACTGATTCAAGGTGAGATGCTAGTACTAAAGGTCCCCAATCTGAGCGAGTGCTATCTGCCCGAAGGGTGAATAGCCTGGATACAATATAAGTGACAGAAAGAGGGCTGCTGCTGTCACTTGCTATCGCTTCTTCACTACTTTCCTTGCTTTGCTGTCATGCAGCCAGCCAACTATGAACTGAAACCTCTACAAACTGTAACCTAAAATGAGCTTTTCCTCCTTTAACTTTGGGTATCAGATATTTTGTCTCAGCTACAAAAAAATAACTATGACAACCTCCAAGTCACTTTTTGTTAATATTTTCTATTTATTCAACAATGAATATAGTTTTAAGTTAATATTTTTTCAAAAATACTAGTCTGATTTCTAATCTTAATTGAAACAATCTGCTCAAGATTGTGGATTTCCATGTCACCCATAACAAATCTTTTTTTTTTTTTTTTTTTTTTTTTGAGAAGTAACAATACTTGTAGCAAACAGGAATAACTCCCAGTGACAGAAATTTCAGGCATTAAAGATGAAAACAAAACAGTCTTCATGAACACAATTTCCCACCCTTCCAAACACATGATGGAAAGTTAAGCCTCTTCCTATTTATCATGGGATGTAGTACAGGAGCCAGGGAGAGGATGACAATTTAAGTGCCAAGAGGAAACAGGTCAAGTACAGTCCTATACAGAGGCCTAGTTAAGGAAAAGAAAGTAGGTAACATTGCTACAAGTGTTTTTGGCACAAAAATATGGACATAGATCCAAAGTATTTTGAACCAGAAACAAACAGATTTGAGAGAAGAAACTGCTCCCACAGAAAACAGATTCAATGCCTAGGCTGCAAATTCTAGAGCCTTTCTTCCTTTAGTGGACTTATTAGAAGAAAAATATGAGCTTTTAAAAAAAGACATCAGATAAATTCACCTCTTATTAAAACAATAAACCTAGAATACTAACAGTAATACAGAAAGCTAGAAAAAAAATATATAACATACTAGGTTATTAAAGCCAAAGGAGTTCTTGAAAGCTAGAAAAATAAAATGAAACTTAAAGATTTAGGCAAGGCACCATAATTAGAATGGCTTTTAATCAACCCTAAAAGAAAAAGGCAGGAAAGGATCTCCTGTCAGCTGCAAACTAGACAGTGGCAAGGAACCTAGGCACTTCATTTGGCTATTGTGTTTCTGGTAACAGTTCAATATAGCTGTTTTAACAGTGAACAAAAGCCATGGGCCTAACTGAAGACACAGTATGCTCATCAAAAGATGTCCCATCACTGTGCACTGAACCAGAGCACAGATTCTGCAAAGAATGAATTTACTAGACAGATGAAAAGAAAATAACTAAAATTTAAAGGACTGTAATATCAAACCAATAAACTAACACTTAAAGGAGTGTAATATGAAAGTTAAAATAAAGATCTTTCTGGAGAGCAAAAGAAATATGTTAAAATTGCAACATGCTTGTAATCCCAGCACTCAGAAGGCAGAGGCAGGAGGATTACTGCAAGTTCAAAGCTAGCCTGGGTTACACTGTGAGTTCAAGGCCAGCCTGCACTACACAGTGAGACCCTGTCTCAAAAAAACAAAAAATTAGAACTTCACACCTCCAAGAGTAAATTTTTTCTTTTATCCATTTGTTTATGAAAAGCATCTCCAACTTTCAATTTCAATAATCCTACTTTTGCTGCAATTTTTGGCAAATTAGTTTTAGATGCCCATTTAGATTCTGTCTAGGCAAAGGCAAGAACATTTAGAACATATCTACATGGTAATTTATTCTGCTGATGATTATTTCTCTTCTGTAAGAGTATAGATGAAAAAAGTAAACAAGCAAAATTAACAAGCAATGACTATCTCTGAGAGATAAATTTTTCCTTCTTATGGCTTTTTTTTTTTTCTGTTTTTCCACAAAGACATTTATGGGCTATAGTTTCGCTACAGAAAAGTGTTTCCAACTATTTCATTTGTATTAACAGCTACACACCTCAAAGTCATAGAGATTAATGGTCCAGTCATTCCACACAGATAAATGGACACTGCTTTTAAAAAAAATGACAAGAAGTCAGGCATGGTGGCACAGGAAGCTGAAGCAGGAGGATCGCTGAGTTCCAGACCAGCCTGGGTTACAAAGTGAGCTCAAGGGCAGTCTGAATTGTATAGTGTGACCGTATCTCAAAAAGACAAAAAAAAAGGGAGTGGGGGGAGACAACAATGAATAATCCCTCCTTAAAAAGGTATAGATACCTAAAAGATCCTATTCCTTCTGAGAAACTCTAATGCTAATTATAAATTATGTTTATTATGTAAAATTGATTTACATATAACACCAGAGATAATTTCCTTTTGAACTGTATTATCTGATGATTACAAATGTATCTGATGGTTAAAAGTTAAATTTTAAAAGACTTCATGAAGATGTGTTCTTGATTTTATTTTCTTTCTGATTCCACACAACACAAACATTTTCTCCTATCTCATATGAGCTATACAAAAAAAAGAGTAAGAAGTAATAGTACAAAGAATGTCATGTATATAAATAGCACTGCTGAGTACATAATGTTCTGTTACTCTAGGGACAGCACAGACAACAGAATTTGCATGAATAAAAGTAGGCAGACTGTAATATACATGCTCATGCAAATACAAATCTGCAGAAAAGAAAGAAATCTTTTTACTGTTATTGTTCCAAATTGGTTTCATCTTTAAAATGAAGTGACTGGGTTAAAACATCTGAAGTCACTTCCAGTTTAAAATTCTAACTTTTTTTTCATGCAGTACAGTACACTAAACCCAGGACCTCGCTCATGCTAGGTCAGTGCTTTACCACTAGGTCAGCACCCTCAGCCCTCAAAACAGTTCTTTAATTATTCTAATTCTCTTTTACAATAGTAATAAAGATACCACTGTCCTACCTCCTTTTATTTATAACTTGTTGAATTACGAGAATGAAATCATGAAAAGGTTTGCCTAATAATCCTATGGATCTAGCTATATCAAGTTCATTAAATTTTAATCAAACTGAAGCAAAAATCACATTTGTCCCTACAGCAGATATGAGAGACAGACAGAGCCAGAGCCAGAGACAGAGTGAAGGGGAGAGGGCGTCAGATGACTACAGCTGCTGCCAACAGCTCAGAGCAACCACATGAGATAACCAAGCTGCCTTTTCCAAACTGCCAACTTTGAGTAAAATAAAATGGCAATTTTCTGCCGTAAAGTTTTAGAGAAATCTGCTGCATAGAAATAAGTAACAAGCAATGGTAACTATGATTATAGTAATAAAAGAGTACTTTAATAGTAACAGTAATGAATCATGTTTATCCATCTTCCAGGAAGAACATTAGACCAGAAGAGATCAGACTCAACCCTGTCACAACCTGCATGAAAGCACTACACTGAGTGACTCAGTTAATTCTAAGAAATTCAGCTTCCAGATCCATAAATAAGAAAATTAGAAAAGACAACTTTCAGTCAGGCATGGTGGCACACACCACTCATAAGGCTGAAGTAGGAGGATCACTACAAATTCAAGGCCAGCCTGGGCTACAAAGTGAAGTCAAGGCCAGACTGAACTACATAGTGAAACCCTGTCTCAAAAACATGAATTAATTAATTAATTAATTAATTCTCAACCATAATTTCTTTTGTTCCAAATAAAGTCAAGATGTTTAAATACTGCAAACTATTTTGTACAATCATTAAAACATTCTATCATGCAATCATTTTCTAAACTTTCTATCAGCAATATACAGAATCTCCTTTAAAAAAAATCTCCCTCCGTGGCTAGCACAATCCCTGAACCCACTTATCCTTATCTCCTCATCCTCCTAGAAGTCATCTTTGATAGGTTTTCTCTCCTCACCACAAAGGTCCTTATGGCAGTACAAGCAGCATAAAATCACCTCTTTGGTATTTACTTTCTTCTTTGGCATATGAACAATTATGATTCTTTCTACCACCATTCTCCTTCCCTTGCTTCTAAATGAAATTATTATGCTTTTAACTAATACAATGTTTATACGTTTTTGAAGGTTTTGCTGGGGAGAGGTTGTTTTGTTTTGTTTGTTAAGACAAGGTCACGGGGGCTGGGGATTTAGCTCAGCGGCATAAGCACCTGCCTTGCAAGCAGGTGGTCCTGATTAAAAAAAAAAAGAGAGAAGGTCTCACTAAGTAGCTCAGACTGGCCTTGAACTTTGCAGCCCAAGTTAGCCTTAAATTCACATGTTCCTCCTGCCTCAGCTCCCCCCACTGCCAGGATCACAGGTATGCCAACCACACCTGGCTTTGTTTTGGACAGTCATTATTTTAAATATGAACAAGCTTTCCACGTTTGCCATTACATCAGTATGGTTCTTAGAAGTTACCTGTTGGAGGAAGTGGGATAGTACTGGGGATTGAATATAGGGTTTTCGCAGTGAGCTGTATCCCCAGCCCTTTGTTTGTTTGTTTGTTTGTTCACTTGGGGTTTTGTTTTTGTTTTGAGATCAAGTCTTTTTTTTTTTTTGTACCAAAAATCGAACTCATGACCACACACTTGCAATGCAGGCGTTTATGCCACTGAGTTAAACCCCGCCCTTGAAACCAAGTCTTACTAAAATGTGCAAATGCCTAGGCTGGGCTCATGCCTGAATTCCTCCTACCTCCAGCTCAGAGTGCTGAGATTTAATAATGGGTGTATGCTATCACTCCCAGCTTTACAGTAATGCAAAGAGAAAGCAAAATTTTAAACTAATCATTCATGCCAATTTTTAAATAGTTTTATTTAACAAACATACGGTATTTACAATATGACAAGTACCACAGCTGTAATTATTTAACATATTAATTCATTCGATCTTCCTAATATTTCCATGAAATAAATATTATTATTATTATCTCCATTTTACAGATAAGGAAACTTAGGCATAGAAGAGTTAAGCAACTGCCCAAAGACACACTACAGGAATCAGACTTCAAATTCTATAGGTCTAACTTCAGAGTCAGTTTCCTAAGCAGTATATTAAACTACCTTTCCATCTGATAAAAACTCTTTAGAACTGTTCAAAACAAGACTCCATAAAATGCTGCGTTTTGTGGGAGCCTTTGTAAGGGAGAAGGAAAAACACTAATATAAAATGTAAATTTTAAAAGGTTAAATCACAAAACTTCCATAAAGAAACATCTTTGTAAACAAGTATATTTGACTTAGTTTATATTACCAACTCACAGTAGGTTTAAAAGAAAAGATACATATTTTTAAATTTAATCTTTTTACTTCAATTATGAAAGGTATTAAATGGAAATATGAAATTTATTTTGTAAATCAAAAATCATAATTTTCTCTTATACACTAATAAAACACAAGAATGTAAAAAAGATTAGAAATATTAAATTTAAAATTGCTTTTTAAAATAATTTTGACACATAAAGTGAAACTTTATTGTGAAATTAGAAAACTTGTCATAATGCATATTTTTAATAATTTATCCCATACAATTAAATTTTTTAAATAACTTCATTATGTATGTGAAAACTATTTGGATAAATTTGTAGATATTTTCCAAAAATAAATTTCCATCTCCCACTTCTAAATTTTGAAACGAGAAATGACTTTTAAAAAAGAAGTAAAAATTTAGCTGAAGTTCTTATCCTGTGCCTAAGTAACCAATGACACAGACTTCTCAGAAGCCAGTCTGGGCTTTGGTGTCCTTGTGTAATAAAGTGAAGAACTTAAAGTACAGTATATCTACAAAACCGCAATCTGCAAGTCTTTAGGGTTTTATAACTTTTTAAATTATGTATTTTAAAAAGTTTAAAACTTCAAATCTCACCTCATCTGAAGAATCTGCTTGCCCCAACGTTCCTGTTGCACCTGCAAAACCTACAGAGAGTAGAAAAGAAAGTCGCTCTTCATACTTGTTATACACGGGCTTACTTTAAATTTAATTTGAGACATGCAAATATCAAAAAGCTAAGTTTTATTACACTAGATGCATCTTTCTGTTACCTTGGCAAAGTTCAACATTAATAAATAAATTTGGTTGATCTTTCAATAGGAAATCTTCAATGAAAACAGATTTGATACAGTAAACACAAATAGTATTTCAGACAGATGTCTTTCTTTTTAGTTTTAAACTATGATTTACTAAAATGCTGAACTAGTAAAAATGTGGATGACTCTTGAATATTAACTGCTACATTTCTAATGAATTAGAACCAAAACCTTAAAAAGCTAATCAAATTCCATTAGGGAAAGTAGATTTACTTCTTTGGCTAATCTATTCTTTCATCTAAATTTTTACTTTTCTTTGAAAAATGGCACTGTCTTAGTTGGAAATGAATTTGTTAAACAGTGCATTAAAGTATGAGGGATTCAAAAAAACCAAAAAAAAAAAAAAGCAAGGGGCTGGGGATTTAGCTCAGCGGCATAAGCGCCTGCCTTTAAAGCAGGCAGTCGTGAGTTCGATCCCTAGTACCGATAAAAAGGAAAAAGACAAAAAAAAAAGTATGAGGGATTTGTTTGTTTCTTTAATAAAGAAAAATCACTATTGTTCCACTTAAATACTAAGACAAACCTTGAACACCCAGAGTACTAGTACCAGCAGATGGCTCCTGCATGCCATACACAAGCTTATCCTCAGGATATGTGAGTCCAGAGCTCTTCAAAGCTATCAGGTACTTTTCATGACTCTTCTTTGCACAAGCATTTTCTCCAAGACCTAATATTTAGGACAATTTAAAATCGGAAGAAATATTCCATTCAAAATCTAGGTACAATAATGTCTACTAATATACACAAAAATAAAACAGATGGATATTCTAGTGGAAAAGAAACTATAATGAACAACATAAACAGCTTCACATAACATTTTAATGTTTATATTTGGTATTAAGAAACCCAAAACACACAGCATATTTTTAACAAATATTTGGTGACAGACATACAAGACCCAGGGTGTACAAAGATTAGTAACACATGATTATGATCCAGCCTTCAGAGAACCTGCAAACCAGTAATAAAAACGGGAGACAGATAAGATAGGAGATGACAACAATGTAGTGGACATCACTTTCTGATCTGACAATCTCTACTCTTCTAACATCATGTATTCAGACTTATCCAAAGTACAGTACTTAGGACAGATAATACCTAAGTGAAATTTTCAAGTACTACAAATGAAATCACTTTTAATTCCTGTTTTTTGGTTTTTGTTTTTTTGATTGTTTTTGAGACAGGATCTCACCATGTAGTTCAAGGTCAGCATTGAACTCACTATGTAACCAAGGCTGGCCTCAAACTCATGGCAATCCTCTCACCTCAGCCTCTCAAGTGTTGGAATTACAGGCATGCACCACCAAACCCAGTCATTAATTCCTGTTTTGTCATTGTTGGTGGTGTTGCTGTTGTTTTCTTTTTGGTACTGGGGATTGAACTCACAATCTCACACTTGGTAAGCAAGTGCTTGTGCCACTGGGCTAAATCCCTAGCCCCATTAATTCCTGTTTTCTTAATCAAACTTTTTATAATGTACTTATTAAAGTTAAGGAACTAAAGGTGCAAATTCTACTGAAATACTAGATAAGACAATTGAATTCCCAAAGTATTTTTAAAAGGTTAGTTTCTATAATTAAATTATCCTAAAACTTTCACTTAAACATTACAGCTTACTACTTATTGCCAATATTTTCTTTTGCTTTTAATATTTATACAGGATAGGGTGACAGCAAAAGAAAAACAGGTTGATAACTGAAAATCCTGAAAGGAAAAAATTATTCTTTATGTGGAAGCTAAATTTCCACGGCATATGCCACCTTTTTTGGGGGGGGAGGGAATCTGAATCTGCCTGTATAAACATATAGGAGAGTTTAGTATTTGCTGGGCTTTTCTCTTTTCTTTGATAGCATCAATACTACCAATAGAACGGTTCTTTAATTTTTCTTTTTGTTTTTTGGGTTTTTTTTTTTTTTTTTTTTTTTTTGAGACAGGGTCTCACTATGCGATTCAGGTTGCCCTTGGGCTCACTTTGTAGCCCAGGTTGGTCTCAAACTTGCGATGATCCTCCTGCCTCAGCTTCCCAAGTGCTGGGATTACAGGAGTGTACCACCACACCTGGCTTGGTTCTTTAATTTTTAATCTTTGTCTGCCTTGTTTAAAAAAAATCCAAAACAGATGAAACAAATAGGAATAGTGCCTCTTTTCAATTCAAGCCCAATATTAAAAACAACAACGATGACTTTATGAAGAACAAAAACACGTTCAATGTCTGGTAAAAAAAAAAAAAAAATAGCTAAAGGCTGAGAGTACAGCTTAGTGGTGGAGCTTTGTCCTGGCAAGTGTCAGGCTTTGAATTCTATCCCAGCCCGCCAACCAAAAAAAAAAAAGAAGAAGGGAAGAAAAGGAGAGGCAGATGACTGCATTTCTCTTGGATAATAAAAGCTATGCACTGATCTCAATAATAGTAATATTCACCTAGATAATTGTATTTTGGCAGCCCCTCACAATAATCCTGAGCAAAATGAGTATATTTTCCCAAGGAAAGAAGCTGAGGCTTACAGACTCAACACAGATAGCCAGTGAGTATGCAAGCACAGCAGAAATGAAGCTAAATCACACATATCCAACTTTTAAGTCAAAATTTGATTTGATTTCCATTGCTAGAAGTTAAACAAGGACGGCTGTTAATGATGTTTAATTTCAAGATATAAAGAATTTTTTCAAATTGGAGAAATAAAAGAAGACAACTACCTCAAGTCATTCCTAAAATTTACATTCCCACAATGGTTAAGAACAACCTGCTGGCTCTCTTTCTCAGTTCATGGTTTCTAAATATACATTCTGTAGTTTGGAAAAATGACAGATGTCCTGATACGATTTTTATCTCTCTCCAACTTCATCATGAAAGCTCAAATAAAAACCACTATTATCTTTATCCTAGACTTCTGCCCTTCACCTGCCCCTTCCAATTTCTTCTTCACAAAACATCCTTTTAAATCCTATCTCATCATCTCATTCTTAAGGGTAAAATATTTCCATGACTTTTCATTACATTTCAATTATGATATAATTGTGGCACGTGCCTGCAATACCAACATTCAGGTGGCTAAGGCAGAAGGATCACTTGCGTTTAAAGCCATCCTAGGCTGCAAAGAGAGTACAAGGCCAGCCTGAACTGCACAGTGAAACCCTGTCTCAAAAAGAAAAAAAAACCTGCCCATACTAGTTCTGATCTAATCGAGTAAAATGTGGCAGCCTTCCTCCTATATTGTCCTCCTATATTCATTTCACTTAAACCATCCTCACCTTTTTAGTTCCTTGGAAAGACACAGACCCATTCCCACCCATTAATATCCCCACATGCTCTTCCTCCACCTGGAATCTAGAAGGTACATGGAGTGTAATTTGTCATGGCTGCAGTTCGTTAAGTATCTTGGATTTACAAATCAATGTTTTTCACCCATTTTGGGGAAACTTAGCCATTTCTTCAAATGCCTGGGATCCTAACAACATGCTTGTTAGACCATCAGATTTTATGAGGTTCATGAGGCTCTGTTGAAGGTTTTTCAATCATTTTTCTCTCTGTTATCCAGACCTGATTATCTACCGATCTGTATTCAAATTCACTGACTTGTATTAAAAACAGGTGCCTCATCTTTTGCCCAATCTCTGCTGTTTATGACACAAGGACAAGTCTGATAGCCAGAAACAGATGTCTTCTACTTACAGCTTAACCCCACCCCTTTACCACACAACTCCCCTTATCTTCTAGCTAAATGAGTTAACCCTAATCATTAGGAATTATTTTAAATATTGCTTCCTAACACTGCTTCATCACCTATCACACCAGTGAAATACAGGTCTCTCTTTATAACCACTTGTCCTACCCTTTCTTTACATTTATTATAGTTTATAATCACACGACTTTTTAGTTCTTGAATTTTATTAATGTCATCTCACTTATTAAGACTATAAGCTTTGTAAGGACTAGGATAGGATTACATGGTATATTTCTAACTTTCCAAATAAGCCAAGAATCAATGACATAAAGAGTGCTTGACAAGAATTTGTGGAAAGCTGGGTATTTAGCTCAGTGGCATTAAGCGCCTGCCTGGCAAGCGCGAGGTCATGAGTTTGATCCCCAGTACAAAAAAAACAATCTGTTGAAGAAGTAAATATTACAGATAAGACTATCTAACATATGACAAATAACACACATGAGAAAATTTACAACTCTAAAGATGTATAACATGGCCCGGGGTTATAGTTCAGCCTCACAATGCTTGCCTCACAAGCGTGAGGGTCCTAAGTTCAGTTCCCAGTACAAAAAAAAAAAAAAGATAAACTTCAATTTTCAAAACATCCTGTTAATACCAGTAAGAAAAAAAACATGGTTGAAAATACTAATAATGTTTTTAAATAATTGATATATTTATTATTGTATCATCTGGGCAGAATGACAGAATGAAGGTATTAAAACTGTTTTCTATAATGGTATACCAGATACACAAATGCTCTGCAATTTTGTTTCATAATTTAAACTCTATATTATAAAATCCTCAAGCATATAATCTAAAAGTTTAGAATACAAAACAATAGACCAAAAAATTATTATTTAAAAAGAGGGAGGTGGAACATAACTATAAATATGTCACAACAAAAGGTAGGAGACCTAAGTTCTTCTATATAAATTAATTATGAGTCTAAAGCAGCTCACTTAATTTTTCTGGAGCTCACTTATCTCGTCTACAAAATAAAAATTTCTCCTATTCACTTCCAGATTTAGCATTCTTCAGAAAATCTACACTTTACCATTAATTACTAAAATATGGTATACTTTCTTATTATAGTAATATGAGTAAATTATAAATTTTTTTAACATTTTACTCACCAGAAGTCAGATCTTTGTAGTTTTGTTGGTTTGTCAAAACCTGAGTAAGAACAGACCTCATTGCTCCTCCCATTTTAGTTAGGTCTTCTAAAAAGGAAATCTGAGGTTCCAAAAGCTGAAGGACTTTGTTAAGGTCTTTTTCTGATGGTATATCGGCTGCTAAAAATTAATAAATAAATAAAAATACAATGTATTCATTTATATATAATATATAATTAAGGATAAATTTCTTTTAAGTATTTTGCTTAGAATAATAATATATTAGAGCCAAAATAACACTTCTGCTTAGAAACTAGCATCTGCCCAGCACCCATGTACATTTGCTCAGAAATTCAGTCCTCTGAAAAAAGTAGATGACAAAAACAGATGATGAGTTGTCAACATTTAATTTGAGTAACAAGCATTTAGGTACATGTAACCACTTCCAAGATGACTATGAACTGCATAAATTGTAAGCATGTACTAATTCAAATTTAAAAATTATTTTAAAAAAGCATTCAATCTGAGGTCAGGGGTTCTAAACTTCCAGAGACATAAACATAAGAGCATTTCAAAATAAAATAGTATTTAAGAAAAAAGTTAAAAACATACCCAAAAATGAAACAAGATAGAATTCAAGTGTATTGAGAAATGTAAGAGTATTAAAACAAAATTATATTGGCTCTAACATAAATACATTAGACTTACATGCAAAACAATCCATCTTCTATCCCATTCCAAAAATACAGACCCATATTAGCTGAAAGTCAAAGAAACTACTGTTTCTATAAATAAGAATAACTTTTTAAAATTAAAAAAAAAAAAAAACAAGGCAAGATATGCCTACTTTAGGAGACAAAAAAGTCTGGCTAGAAAATGAGAAAAGATATTAAAGGTGAAAAGAAAAAAAAAGAAATGTCTACAAAAGGAGAGATAAAGTCTAAAAGGGGTAAAATGAACAAACACTCAGAGCTATATAGCCACAATTGATTAAAAGAATACATGTAATGAGCTAAGGAAGACTGTGTGCCTAGAAAAGAGAATTAATTTCATTCTTTTCTTTCTTTTTTTTTCTCCTTTGGACACAGTGTCTATCTATGTAGTTCAGGGTGACCCTGAATTCATTATGTGGTCCTGATTGGTCTCTAAGCAGTCTTCCTGCCTCAACCTTTTTCGTTTTGGAATTACAGGTGTACACCACATCTCCCATACTCACTGTACATTTATTCAGGGTCTAAAACCTTATTTTCAGCTGGGTATGGTGGCACAGGCCGGTAATCCCAGCACTTAGGAGGCTGAGGCAGGATGATCACTTCAAGTTTGAGGCCAGTTTGGGCTACAATGTTAATTTAAGGCCAATCTGAACTGCACAGTGAAACCCTATCTGAAAAAGACAAAAAAAAATAAAACTTACTTTCTGCTGGGTATAATTCCAGCATGCAAGAGGCTGAGGCTGAGGCAAGAGGATCACGAGTTTGAGGCCAGTCTGAGCTTAATAGGGAAACTCTATCTCAAGAATGAATGAATCAGCCAGGCGTGGTGGCTCATGTCTGTAATCCCAGCGCTTGGGAGGCTGAGGTGGGAGGATCATTGAGAGTTTGAGACCAGCCTGGGCTACAAAGTGAGCTCAAGGCCAGCCTGATCTGCATAGCAAGACCCCAACTCAAAAAAAAAAAAAAAAAAAAATTGTGGATAAAAAGAATGAATGAATCAATAAATAAATAAATAATAAATCTTACTTCCTCAGTGGGAAGCTAATACTCTGTAAATACTGTTCACCTGTTCATTCTTCCCACCTCTTACATAATAATGAGGAGGATGTTTAAGTAATCGTGCTCTTGCTTTCCAAGGGCTCCAACACAAGCTCTAACAATGGTATAAGGATTGCAGGGAAAAAAGGAAAAAAAGACCCGAGACCAGCCGTGAGATTATGAGATCTCTCAGCTCCTATAACCATGAATTAATTTATAGCGATCTCTACACAAAGCAGAACAGTGTGGGGAGTTTTTTGTTTTGTTTTGCCAGACAGAAATCAATGCAGAACACAGAGAGGTAACAAAGGAAAATGTTGTGAACCTATATATATGAACTTCATCTTTAGGGAAAAAAATACTTCCACTCATTTATTCATGTTTTCAGATAACAATAACAGTAATTGTCACAGTTATATATTTATGTCATCTACCATTTTTATTGCTAATTGTCATTGAAGGATAAATTTAATATAATATGCTTTTGTATACAGTATTATTTGATTAAACCAATGGCAAAATATAAGGTTCTCATAATAAATGATTTCTACCTATTCTTTTTTAAAATAGGCACCTTGTAATAGAAAATGCAAAATCTACCTACTAGTTCATGAGAAACAATACAGAAGTTTCAACAACCCAGCAATTCAACATCACAGCTAGTATCTGGTTCCATCATTCCAAAGAGATAGTAATTTGGGACAAAATCAAAATAGTATTTTTCCATATTTTAAGATATATATTCTAAGAGAAGTACTCAAGATTTTTTATATTTTTATATAAAAGTACAACACCTTGTTCATGATAAAAATAACAAGATAGTTTTAGGAATAATGAAGATGTTACACTCTTTCATACTTTAAAAGGACAGAAAAAGATAAAAATATATGCCAAATTCAAATTCAGTAAGAATATTTATAGTATTAATTTCAAACACAAAAAATAATGTAGTTTTATAAGATAACAATTCATTAGAAATGTAGAAGATAGAGAACTCATGAACAGGAATCAAACCGCATGGGAAATACTTCCCAGAATCAATAACTGGGATCACGTCTTATTAGAGAGTTTCTGCATGTCGAAAGAAATGTCCAGCACAGTGAAAAGAAAACCCACAAACTGGGAAAAAAATCTTAGTGAACAGTCCCTCAGACAAAGGACTTCTGTCTAAAACATATAAAGAATTTTAAAAAATCAGACATCCAAAATTCAAAGACCCAATCCAAAAATGGGCATCCAAGATGAATACACAGTTCTCAGATGAAGAAATCCAAATGGCAAATAAATACATGAAAAAATGTCCACCATCATTAGTCATTAGAGAAATGCAAATTAAAACAACACTGAGATCCCATTTTCTCACTCCAGAAAGAATGGTCAAGATCAAGAAAACTACCAACAACAAATGCTGGAGAGGCTGTGGGGAAAAAGGAACTCTCCTGCACTGTTGGTGGGAATGCAGACTGGTGCAACCATTGTAGAGGTCAATGTGGAGATTCCTCAAAAAGCTGGGATTGGAAGTCCCATTTGTTCCAGCTATTCCACTTCTAGGCATATTCCCAGAAGAACTAAAAACATCATACCACAGTGATATATGTGTACCCATGTTTACAGGAGCACAATTTGTAATAGCCAGATCTTGGAAACAATCTAAGTGTCCATCAACTGAGAAATGGATTAAAAAGATGAGGTATTTTTATACAATGGCGTACTACTCAGCTATAAAGAATGATCACAGTGAGATATTTGTAAATAAATGGGCGCAGCTTGAGACCATACTCATAAGCGAAATAAATCAAACTCACATATACAAATATCATATAGTCTCCCTAGTGTAAGAAAGGTTAAGAGTACATAAGATTTTATGGTAATCATGATTCCCCATTATATTGCTTTGAAGCCTTATAATGTTTTCATTCATGAATTGGAATGGTTTTATTCTGTTTTGTTTAATTTTATTATGTGTGGGGCAGGGGACTTAGCTCAGTGGCATAAGCGCCTGCCTGTCAAGCACAAGGTCGTGAGTTTAATCCCCCATACCACAAAAAAAAAAAAAAAAAAAAAATTATGTGTGATGGTATGAACAGCTATTTTGAAAAAACGCACGACATTATGGCAGCCATTGCTGATTTAATATCATGTTGCTTTGAAGTCCTATCATGCTTTTGTTCGTCTGTTTCCATTGGTTCTATCATGTTGTGTCTTATTAGCTATTAATGTGTGTGATAGTATAAATAAATTTTCTATGGAAAATGAGATAATATTGTAGCCATTATTCATTTTCTGTTTGGTTCTGAATGCCCTATAATACTTTACTTTCATTCTCTTGGTTTTATATTATTTTGTTATGTTTGATACTATTGTATATGAAGGCATGATCAACTATTTCAAAGAAAGAGACATTATGGTGGCTACTGTTAATATCCAGTTGTCTTGTTGGAAGTGCTGTGCTGCTTACATTTTTCTGTTCTGATCTGCTTCGTTCTGTCCTCTTTTGTCTTAATCTCTTTAAAATAAAAAAGAAAGAAATGTAGAAGATATCATCAAAACTTAATAAATTTATCTGATAGCCAGGTATGGTGGCTCACGTCTGTAATTCCAGCACTTGGTAGGCTGAGGCAAGAGGAGTGCCAGCTTGGACTACATAGTGAGTTCAAGGGCAGCCTGAGCTACATAACAAGACCCTGTCTCAAAAGACCAAAACAGAAAAAAAGAGTAAGGAATAAGTTGGTTTCATGCTACTGATATCTCTAATTCATGTCAGACTGAGGATTTTATTAGGAACCTAAACCTAAATATTTAATTAAAATGCCTCAATCAAGATTGTCATTAAATCTTAAAAGGCAAATAGAATGTCAGTAATTTTCAATGTTGCACTTCTTTTTAATTCTATCATGATGCATATATACATACATTTTATCAGTATTATGAATGTGAGCGATTTGACCCTATTTTAAGTTATTATATAAAATATATAGACAGGGCTGGTCCGATGGCAGTGGGTTATCAGAACTTATTAACATTAGTGTCACTAAAGTTGGTATACCACCCCCCCACTGCTAAATTTGACTGGCTTTAAAAAAAAAAAAATATATATATATATATATATATAGACAGAAACAAAAATATACACAAACTTCTATGAAAAGAAAACAAAAGATTAAACAATAGTGTTTATCTTCTAAAATAATCTAAATTAAATTCAAACATTTCCAGGAATTTGTAATTCTGCTTTACCTAATATGATTACAAATAGTCATTTTTAACTCCATAAGATGAATTACAAATCATCTGCAAAAAGTCAAGTAAGTCTGAAGTTTGATCAAAAACATCTGCAAGGGGCTAGAGACATAAACTCAGTGGTAGAGCTCTTGCCTTTCATGCACAAGCCCCTAAATTCAATCCCCAGCACCACAAAAAAAATCTATGAGGCTGTGCATGGGGGCATATGCGTGTAATCCCAGCACTCAGGAAACTGAGGCAGGAGGATTGCCATGATTTGAGGCCAACTTGGGCTATACAAGCAAGTTCAAGTCCAGCCTGCACTATATAGTGAGATCCCGTTAGAAAAAAAAAAAACCACAACTCTAAAGGCACAATACAACAAATTAGCTATCTATCAAGCTTTATTATTAATTTTAGTGTATCTTTATTAAACTCCTATATCTTACAACTATCTCTTTTAAAATGTTATACACATATACATATATATAATACATACAAATATTCACCTCTTTATCAATGTTAGGGCTAAAATGTTGTGAACTGGGGACTTAAAAGGGATACTAACAAGGAGAGTAAAACATACCTGGTTCATTATAGCCTTCTCTTAAGTACTGAATAAGACAAAAAATAAATCTTGGAAGAACAAATTCAGACATCATCAGTAAATCTTTGGGGACACAGGGGACATTTGAACTTGATTTAATTTGATGCCTTTTGCAAAACCTGTAAGAAAAAGAAAATTTTAAAAAAGAAATCAACAGCGATGTCCAATCAACCAAGAATATATTACTTCTATTTACAACATTCATAAACAAAATATACACAAAATATCAAAACAAATATAATCCTTTATGATTTTTAAAGCATTAAGTTTAAAAAGATCATAGTTTTAATGAGTCTTTAAATTAAAAATGGCACGGGAGATCTTTCCCTAATAAAAGAACATACCAGCTAGATTCCAACTAGAATACAAAAAGAAAATTTATTACAGGATTTGTATTTTTGACTACAATTTATTACTTTGTTAGTGCTTCTACCACTTATAAACTACTAAATACAAACTGATCATTTCTAAAACTTTACAATTTATTTCTTGTTTCTAATATTTTGCATTAATTCATAAGTAAGCAATAATTGAAGTTTAAAGTTTCAGTGCTTAACTGTATATATATATATTCCTTCTAATCTTTTTTTTTTTTTTTTAAAGACAGGGTCTCAATATGTAGTTCAGGCTAGGCTTGAACTCACTGTATAGCCCAGCAAGGCCTCAAACTCATGGCAATCCTCTTGCCTCAGTCTCCCAAATGCCAGGATTGCAGGTATGTGCCACCATGGTCAGCTCTAAAGCTCATTAATTAAACACAGGAAATAAAAAAGAGGGCCAGGGATTTAGCTCAGTGGCATAAGCACCTGCCTGGCAAGCGCAAGGTTGTGAGTTTGATTTCTGGTACCAAAAAATAAAAAAATAAAAAATAAACATAGGAAATAAATTTCATTCCTACCTCACACCATACATAAAATATATTCCAAATAAATTTAAAATCAAATGTAAAGAAACAAATCTTGGAAAAGTTAACTATTCTACAATATCTCAGAGTATAAAAAAATCCTATTAAGACTTTAAACAAGGGGCTGGGGATTTAGCTCAGCGGCATAAGCACCTGCCTTGCAAGCAGGCAGTCGTGAGTTCGATCCCTGGTACCAATAAAAACGAAAAAGACAAAAAAAAAAAAAAAGACTTTAAACAAAGTCATAAAAGAAAAAAACTGACTATATAAATCAAAGCTTCTAGCAGAAGATAACTGGAAAAACTATTACATTATGTAAATATAAAAGATTACTAACTTTACAAACTTAAAAATGATCAAGAAAAAATTCAATAGAAAAACAAAGCAAGGATTTGAATAGTTTAGAAATGAAATACTGATTACTCGATAAACACATGAAAAGATGCTTCAGTTCTCTAAAACTCAAAGCAATTAATTTTATTAAAATAAAAAATGAATAAGAAAGTAATCATTTTGTGATCTATTGAAATATCTGACCCATGCAATGCTGCTATTATAAAAAAAAGGAAAATTTTATACTTGGGAAATCAAACTATTACATTCTTATCCACCTGAATATCACTAAAAATGAAAAACTAAACACTGCAATGTACATGAAACTCAAAAAAATATTTACAAAGTATTTTTTGTGTTTTTTCAATATTAGAGATCAAAACACAGGGGTTCACAACTATTCTGAACCTTTTTTTTTTTTTTTTTGGCTATAGGTGTAGCTCACAAACACTGTGCTTGCCTAATATGTGTGAAGCTCTGAGTGCACTTCCCAGTGCCACAAAAATAAATAAATAAAGACAGCTTCTCGCTATATTGCCTGAACTGGCCTCTAACTTGTAATTCGCCTGTCTCAGCCTACCCAGTTGTTCGGATTACAAGTGTATTCCATCACATCTGGAATTACTAAGTGCTCTTAACAGACAGTTTAACTTGAATTGGGTCAACCTCATTTACAAGTGTAACAGAAAGAACAAGTTAAATGTGACACACAAAAAAAGAAAAATCAAGAATGTAGGACACAAACCTGGTGTGGTGGCGCACACTTGTAATCCTAGCATTCAACCCCAGGCTGAGCAATTTAGTGAGACTCTGTCTCAAATGAAAAGTAAAAAAAGAACTAGGAATGTAACTCAGAATGAAGTGAAAGCCTTGGATTCAATTCCCAGAACCACCACCACCAAAACAAAAGGACAACTGACTCAGTTTCTGCAACCTGCCATGGGTACAGGAAGGAAGAAGACAGAAGGGCCATTCGAAGGGAACAGCTGGAGAGAGCCAATGCTCACATGGAATGTATGACCTCGTTCTAAGAAACCAACTCTAAAAATTATTTTTTAGACAGATCTGATCATGAACTGGATCACTGCTGTTAATTTTACTAGGTACAATGGCACTGTGGTTATGTAAGAAAATATGGATATTTGATGACAGTAAGGGTTTTTTGCTGACAGTAAATAATGGTAAACACTGTAATTGGCATTGAATAGGGAAAGTGTTTGTCTTTTAGATTATATACAGAGAAATATTTATAAAGTGCTATATGGGACTTATTTCCTAAAAATCTGATGGGGGATAAAGGAAGGAAGTGAGACTAGACTGAGACCAGTTATAAATTGTTAATTGCTGAAAATAGGACATAGTTACATCAAATCTCATTTACATTATATTCACTAATCAAAACCAGTAAAATCCTTTCTGATTGTGAAGGTATGAATTTTTTAAAAATGTAATTTAAATTTGTCTTTAAGTCAAAAATGGCACCAAGAGAACCGGGGATTTTGCTTAGTGGCACAGGCACCTGCATGGCAAGCATGAGGTTGAATTCGAGCCCCGGTACCAAAAAAAAAAGGCATAAAGGGAGTCTTTTCCTAATAAAATCCCATACTAGTTAAATTTCTTATGCTCACTGATTTTATATATGTTGTAAATTGTCTGAAATAAAAAGCTAAAAATTTTTGGACAGAAAATATCCATTAATTTCAAGATTCATACTGAAGTTTGTCAAGGTGAAATGACATAAACTTAGGGATTTGCTTGAAACATGTTATGAAAAGAAAAAGGGCAGTTAAAGCAGATGAGATAAAAAATCTTGATAAAATGTTGAGTTTGGGTAATAGGAATCAGTGTTCCATTGTCTTTACCATTGTACATGTTTGAAATTTTTGATAAACGTAAGATTGTCCTTTTTATCTCACAGTTTAAAATTTACTAATTCATTGCTGTAAATCACACACATAGAAGTATAACTGGGTTTGGTGAAACTTACAAATCTCTTACAAAAAATATTTTATTTTCAGGCAGGGTCCCACTATGCAGTTCAGGCTGGCCTTGAGTTCACCATGTAGCCCAGACCGAACTCAACCTCTCAGTGATCCTCCTGTCTCAGCCTCAGAATGCTGGGAATTCAAGCATGTGTCACTATGCCTGGCTATTTCTTAAAATTTTAAATGGTCACAACTGAGCTTGGTGGCACAAGCCTGTAATCCTAGCATTCTGGGAAGCTGAGGCAAGAGAATCAAAACTTCAGGTCCAACCTAGGTAATAGAGCAAGCAAGACCATATCCCAAAATTCAAAAACTGCTGCGCATGGTAGTGGAGGCCTATAATCCCAGTGCTTGAGAGACTGAGGCAGAAAGATTGCTAGAAAGATGGCTACGTAGTAAGTTAAAGGCCTGCCTGAATTACAGTGAGACCCTGTGTCAAAAAAAAAAAAACCTAAAATTTAAAAAATACTTAAAAATGTTAAACTTCAATGTTTGTAACATTAAATTAGTATTTCCATTTATAACAACTGATTATACAAAAATATTTCTAACAATTGATTATACAAAAAAATTTGCAAAAAGATGGCCATTGAGACTTCCAGGATAACATGGCGGACAGATAACAGCAGCTATGGAGGCTCTCTGAGATAGCCAGCTTAGACTCTAGGAATGGTACAGTTGGGGAGTCCTAAGCAGGGGGAGATATACCCTGCCAACCTAGGAATGAACAAAGCTGAGAAAAACCAACTGGAAATGCAATCCCGGTGCTACAACTGGAACAGCTAAAGTCTCAGTGCCAAAGCTAAAACCCACACCTCTGGAAACCGTGGCTTGAATTTCCTGCCACCGCTGCTGCATATGAATCAGCACAGCACAGATAGAGATGCGAAAGCTCGGAGAGCGGGAATCAGCGAACCAAATTGAGAGCAGAGCTGGCGGGGAGCCCTGCATCGACCTGCAATGAGTGAGAGGAACAGGGACCCTTCCATAGACTAGGAGGCTCCAACAGAGGACATTCTGGGACCGGGCAGACTAGCCAGAACAGGACACTACTGTGACTTCAGTCACATATTCCCCTCTCAAGCGGGATTGGTGGGGAGTGCTTGACCTGGGTGAACTAAGACCCAATAGGCTAGCCTAATCCAGGTCCCTGTGCCTGGCAGTGCACCCTAATGCAGTGAAGCTTTCAGCAGGTTGACTGACGGAGGGGCAGGCCCAGCATAAGCTGCCCAGGTCTGTGCCTTCCTAGTACACTGCAGTGGGCGGGAACACCTAGCCAGCCTGATTCAAACAAACTGTAACCGACAAAGAAAGAAATGGGGCCGCCTATATACACTTGTATGGAAGAAACAAAAAGTATGGGAAGAGAGAGCAACAAGGGTCCTCAGTCCCCAATCCTGAGAACACAGATCCAGGAAAGGTAAATGCAAAGGAAAATGAGGAGAGAAAACAAGCAGTATCAGACATAAAGCGATATCTCTGAGACCTCATAGATGAGTTCAAAAGTGAAGTATTTTACCAAGTAAGGCAAAATATAAGTAGAATAGTAAAAGAAATGCTAAGCACCTCCCAAGAAAAAAACAGATGGTGGAATGGAAGAACAGAAAAAAAGGGTAGAATTATTTGATGGACAAAATAGAGAAAACATAGAATACATGAAGCAGCTTCAAAGAGATTACCAGGAAACTAAAAACTCTATTGAAAGCTGGCATAACGGCTTGAAAGAAACTAAGGATAGATTATCTGAACTGGAGGACAGATTTGTAATGTGGGAGGATCAAAGGAAAAACTTCTTAAAAATAACAAGAAAACAAACAGCAACAATACAAAGGCTTGAAGATGATAAGAGGATCTATAACTTAAGAATTAAGAACATAAAAGAAGAAGTAGGGACACA